GAAATTTCTCACCGAAGTCGTTAACGGAATATGCGAAAAATTTCCAAAAGAACCATACATTGGTGCGTTCATGGGAACAGAACCAGCGTTAATTGTTAAAGATCCAGACTACATAAAATTAATCCTAACAAAAGACTTCTACTATTTCAACAGCCGAGAAATTGCCGAGTACTCACATAAAGAAGTCGTAGGTAGAAATATATTCTTTACTAGTGGCGACAATTGGAAGATTTTACGGCAAAACGTAACTCCCCTATTTTCTTCAGCGAAAATGAAGAAAATGTTCTACCTCATAGAAGAATGCTCAGATAACCTTGATAAAGTCTTATTCGATTTGAGCAAAGAGCCTAGCGTCGAGGTAAGAGCTTTAATGTCAAGGTTTACAATTGACTGTATTGGATCCTGTGCTTTTGGCGTCAAAACGAAGGCAATGAAACTTGACGAAAGTAACAACCCATTCGTGGAAATAGGTCGCAAGATTTTTGGGACCTCTAACGTCAGAGGTATTAAAGCTATCAGCCGACTTATCTGGCCTTCAATTTTCTACAATTTAGGTTTCAAAGCCTTTCCATTAGAGGTTTCAGAATTTTTCGGCAAACTTCTCGAAAATGTATTTGAACAGCGTCAATATAAGAATTCAGGCAGACACGACTTTGTAGATTTAGTATTGGGTCTGAGGGCTGAACAATTTTTAACAGGTGACAGTATTAGTAACTTAAAGGGTGAAAAGAAGAAAACAACACTGGAAGTCAATCATGATCTATTATCTTCCCAGTGTGTACTGTTCTTCGCAGCTGGGTTTGAAACATCAGCTACCACACTGAGTTTTATACTTTTTGAAATGGCAAAGAATCCAGAAATACAAAAACGAGTGTTAGATGAAGTAGACGATTATTTTTCGAAGAATAATAAAATATCGTACGAATGTGTTAGTGAGACGCCTCTCCTAGACGCCTGCATCAATGAAACATTAAGGCTGTATCCCGTACTTGGTGTTTTGACAAGAGAACTTGTTGAAGATTACAAACTACCTTCTGGAGTGCTTTTAAATAAAGGTATGCGTATTCATATACCAGTTCAACATTTACAACGGAATCCGGAATATTTCCCTGATCCAGATGTCTTCAGGCCTGAAAGGTTCATGAGCAATGAAAAAGAAAATATCAAACCATTCACCTATATGCCGTTTGGAGATGGTCCTAGAACATGTATTGGTAAGTGCAAATTACATTATATATAAAAATTCGGATTAGATTCTTTAACTCACACTATTATATTATTGTTTAACAAAGCCGAAAGTCTTAAAACTTGGTAGGTCACTTATTTAACTCTAACTTTATTCATACATTTTGTAGATAACATTAAAGTTTCTGTATGTAAAAACATTGGACTTTGTATCTGATAGGCAAGTACGTGACCGATTTAATTCTGCCTGACACACACTGTTGATTTTTGGGCAAAGTGTGCCGGTTTTCTCTCAACGTTTTCTTTCCCTGTATACGTTGCCAGATTTCTTTTTAGTCAAGTCGGGATTTTGGCACTTTTAAAGTGAAAAAAGCGGGATTCATTTGTCGAAAGCGGGACATAGTAAAAAAAATTAAATAATCAGAAGTTTTTAAATATTTATGTTTTTAATTGAGTTCAAATCACGTTTGCGTGACAATAGACAACGAAAATAGTCACAGAAAATGTATTTAAATCACATTAAACCTATCGTTAAATAGTTCTTATTCATCTTCTGATTAAAAACAAGAAAATCAAAATAAAAAACGTTTTATTTATTAGAAAAATATAGCGTTTCAAACAATGCTCTGAAGAGTGAGTGTTTCAAATTGCAACGTAAAATAAGACAGTAATTATTTATTAGAATTACTTATTCATAATATTTTATGAAGATATAACTTCTTTAAAAGTTTCATTTTTCTCTTTAAAAAAGACGAATAACTCTTCACAGGCATAGCTACAGATTAAACTTGATGAGTAACTCTGATTTCATTAAATTTACGAAGCATTTCAAAAAGAAGGCGTCTTGGAAAGCAGTTTGATGCTAGGATACTAAAAATAAAGTTTGAAGATAATCCTGGATTGTTTTTGGATACTGTTGAAAGAGTTGGTACCATTATTGTGCGGTGGTGGTAGTACACACTTCTTATTGCCATCGAGCTATTCCCGAAAAGCGGGACTAAGCCTGTCCCGCGCGGGACATTTAATTTTGATTTAAAAATCGGGACGTCCCGCCAAAATCGGGACGTCTGGCAACGCTGCAGTGAGTGTATACATACATTTAAAAATCCATCTTGTGATTGTACGTAGGAATTCGCCTGGGCTTCCTACGTACTACGTAATAAGAGTCTCAGACCTACCCTAGACTAAGGCTGCTCTTAAAATATTCATGTTTATTTTAATTTTATTTCTCTGTGACACAAAAGTTTAGAACTTATTTTTACGAAATATTTTTTTAAGGAATGAGATTCGCCAAGATGCAAATGACAGCAGGCCTCCTCACGATCCTGAGAAAAATTCGAGTTGAACTGGCACCTGACACCCGTATGACAGTGGAATTAGAACCACGCTCGCTGACCACTCAACCTAAGCATGGAATAAATTTGAAATTCGTACCAAGATAAATATTTTGCTGATTTTATCGCCTTATGTTTTTAGAAATATAACAATAAGTATTAATGTGGTTTTTATGATAATTTGTGAATTATTTTGTCATTTACGCTTTAAATATCATATCGTTGTGTATAATATAACCATTTTCCATTCGTTAACACTGTGATTATTATTTTAGTATAATAAATGTAAAGAATATATTGTTTACTTAATTTCCCTACTACACAAAATCTAATCAAATCATTATCATCATCGTAATACCATCCATATCACCTCGACGTCCGTCGTTCCACAACTGAGCGATTCTTAAGGCAGTTTTTGCCGCGCTTCACCACTATGTGGACCAGCTGCTCATTGAAGTACTTCCAAACCACTTCGATTTAGTTCCTTCAAGAAAATACCGTACCAACTCCTTAAAGGCCGGCAACGCACTTGCGAGCCTTCTGGAATGTAAGTGATGGGCGGTATCACTTATCGACATTAAGCACAGAAACCATCACATGATATACACAATATATTACAGGCAACATTTATTAATAAGTCCTAAAACAACATGTATGCTAAACATACAAGAACATATGAGGTCATAAATTTTACACACAATTATATTAGAACATAACAATTTTAAGCTAGAAAGAGGAAAAAGACACACAAACACACACAAAAAGACACACAAAAAATTAGACCTAATTAAGAGCGAGATAAAAATAAATAAACTAATATGTTGTGTGTGTGTATGAGACTGTAATAAATAAAGGAGTTCGTATTCATATACCAGTGTATTCCATACACAGGGATCCTAAGTATTTCCCTAACCCAGATGACTTTATACCGGAAAGGTTTTTAGGCAATGAAAAGGACAATATAATACCGTTTACTTTTCTGCCGTTTGGAGAAGGGCCGAGAATTTGTATTGGTATGTAATATATGAATATTTTCTTAAGGTGCAAGCACAGATGTGTAATGCTTTCAAGGGCAAGAAGGTTTTAATTAAGTGCAAGGTGCCTTTTAACGTGGGAAAGTACCTATTTAGACCATAAATTCAGACAACAGTTAGAAATATATTTACAATAATAAGAATACGTATTATTATGATATTATGATTATAAATATGTAGGAATTTTGCATGCCTATTTTTATATCGCTGATTGTGCGGGTTTCTTTTTATATATAATCAATCTAAATAAACCACTTTCTTTGCAAATTAACCATTTATTATATTATCATTATTATAATTCATTTATAATATTGACTTAAAACAGGTAACACTAACGTCCCTATACGCTTTAAACATATTCTTAATTTTTTCAGGAATGAGATTTGCAAAAATGCAGGTGACAACTGGGTTATTAACGATCCTACGGAAGTGTCATATCGGATTGACTAAAGATACGATTACTAAAGTCGATTTTGAACCACGCGTAATAACAACGCAGCCCGCTAAAGGGATCTACTTGAAGTTATCACTCAGGTCATGTTCAACTCTGATTCACATGAATTGATACCTAACAACTTTTGTTGAATCTGCACTATTAATATTCAAATCAAGTAAATAATATATATAATACTAGTGGACCCCACAGACGTTGTCCTGCATGATATTTAAAGCGATTAGGATATTAAGCAAAGTATGAAAGTACCGACTGCAGTGCCATCTACCGGGCTGATTTGTGAATCTAAACCATTCCCAGATCCCCTTGAACACACACAAAAAATTTCATCAAAATCGGTCCAGTCGTTTGAGAGAAGTTCAGTCACATACACACGCACAGAAGAAATATATATATTAAGATAACAAGATGTATAAATCAAAACGTGATATTTTATTTCTTTACAGTTAACCATTAACTGTCAAATATGATTTTAGCCTACGAATTAAACCGGCGATCGTTAACAGAGTTTTTATTTGCACCTATAATTTATATAACATATGGATTCATATATTTAACACTGCCTTAGAAAACTTTAGCTTGGTTTAATACTAGCAATGATATGTTTAGAATTGGTTCTTTCACTCGGCTAATGAGAATTCGGGATTTCCAAGTTACAATTGTATTACTATACACTTACTCAGTGAAACACTGCCAGGTGCACGTCTTTTAACTGCTGTCAACCCAGTTTGAAAATTTAGGACAGAGATTTAACAACAATTCTATACAGACAAACATATGCAAGCAATTATAACAAAGCAATGTTCGTACATCGATTGATTCTAATATCAACACTATCAGTTCCATGAATTTGGAACCCAATTTAGGATTTATCGGTTACTTAATACTCAGATCAGTGATCAGATTATTAACATGAGTGTGATAAGAATGTTAAGCGCAGTGATTATTACATATAAAAGGGTGCTATCATATTAATTTCACAAAGCTAAAAAAATGGCAGTAACCGCAGTACTTCTAGCATTTCTCGGTGTATTATTATCAATATTTTATTATTGGTCACAATATAAATTCGATTATTGGGAGAAACGAAATGTTCCGCATCTACAACCGACTCCGCTGTTTGGGAATTACAAAGAATACATACTAATGAAGAAATTTCTCACGGAAGTCGTTAATGGAATATGCGAAAAATTTCCAAAAGAACCATACTTTGGTGCGTTCATGGGAACAGAACCAGCGTTAATTGTTAAAGATCCAGACTACATAAAATTAATCCTAACAAAGGACTTCTACTATTTCAACAGCCGAGAAATTGCCGAGTACTCACATAAAGAAGTCGTAGGTAGAAATATATTCTTTACTAGTGGCGATAATTGGAAGATTTTACGGCAAAACGTAACTCCCTTATTTTCTTCAGCGAAAATGAAGAAAATGTTCTACCTCATAGAGGAATGCTCAGGCAACCTTGATAAAGTCTTATTCGATTTGAGCAAAGAGCCTAACGTCGAGGTAAGAGCTTTAATGTCAAGGTTTACAATTGACTGTATTGGATCCTGTGCTTTTGGTGTTAAAACGGAGGCAATGAAACTTGACGAAAGTAACAACCCATTCGTGGAAATAGGTCGAAAGATTTTTGAGACCTCTAACGTCAGAGGTATTAAAGCTATCAGCCGACTTATCTGGCCTTCAATTTTCTACAATTTAGGTTTCAAAGCCTTTCCATCAGAGGCTCCAGAATTTTTCAGCAAACTTCTCACAAATGTATTTGAACAGCGTCAATATAAGAATTCAGGCAGACATGACTTTGTTGATTTAGTATTGGGTCTGAGGGCTGAAAAAGTTTTAACAGGTGACAGTATCAGTAACTTAAAGGGTGAAAAGAAGAAAACAACACTGGAAGTCAATCATGATCTATTATCTTCCCAGTGTGTACTGTTCTTCGCAGCTGGATTTGAAACATCGGCTACCACACTGAGTTTTATGCTTTTTGAAATGGCAAAGAATCCAGAAATACAAAAACGAGTGTTAGAGGAAGTAGACGGTTATTTTTTGAAGTACAATAAACTATCGTACGAATGTGTAAGTGAGACGCCTCTCCTGGACGCATGCATCAATGAAACATTAAGACTGTATCCCGTAATTGGTGTTTTGACAAGAGAACTTGTTGAAGATTACAAACTACCTTCTGGAGTTCTTTTAAATAAAGGTATGCGTATTCATATACCAGTTCAGCATATACAACGGAATCCGGAACATTTCCCTGACCCAGATGTCTTCAGGCCTGAAAGGTTTATGGGCAATGAAAACGAAATTATCAAACCATTCACCTATATGCCGTTTGGAGAAGGTCCTAGAACATGTATTGGTAAGTGCAAGTTACATTATATATAAAAATCCGTATAACATCCTTTAACTGACACTATTATATTATTGTTTAACAAAGCCGGTCTTTAAACTTGGTATGTCATTAACTTTATTCATACTTTTTGTAGATAGCATTAAAATTTTCTGTATGTAAAAACATTGGTACTTGGCATCAGAATTTGTAGATAGGCAAGTAGGTGATCAGCGTTCTGCCTGACACACACTGGCGATTTTTGGCCAAGTATGCCGGTTTTCTATCTGTACCTTGATGAATCCATTTGAATCATCCAACGTACAATCACAGGAATAAAAGTCGCAGACCTAGCCTAGACTAACCCTGCTCTAAAAATATTCATGTTTATTTTATTTTTCTGTGACACAAAAGTTTAGAACTTATTTTTTACGAAATTTTTTTTAGGAATGAGATTCGCCAAGATGCAAATAACAGCAGGCCTTCTTACGATTCTGAGAAAAATTCAAGTTGAACTGGCACCTGACACCGATATGACAGTGGAATTAGAACCACGCTCGCTGACCACTCAACCCAAACATGGAATAAATTTAAAATTCGTACCAAGAGAAATATCTTGCTGATATTTGGAGAAATATAACAATAAGTATTAACGTGGTTATCATGATTCTTTGTGAATTATTCTGTTATTTACGCTTTAAATATCGTTGTGTATAATATAACCATTTCCCATTCGTTAGCACTGTGATTATTATTTTAGTATAATAAATGTAGAGAATTTATTTTTTACTGCACAACATCAAATCAAGTATTAATCATCATCATCGTAATACCATCCGTATCACCGACGTCCGTTGTTCCGCAACTGAGCGCTTTTTATGGCATTTTTTGCCGCGCACCACCACTGTGTGGCAACAGCTGCCCACTGAAATATATCCGAACCACTTCGGCTAGGGTCAAGAAAAGACCGTCTTACCAAGTCTTAAAATGTCGGCAACGCAGTTGCGAGCCTTCTGGCAATGTGTGTGTCCATGGGCGGTATCAACTAATAAGTATCAAAGCATCCATCCTCATCTATCATACCTATTTTCATCATCATTGCCTTCCGACCGAAACATACTGAACCCAAGACCTGTTAAATGACTGACTAGATGAAACACCGACATTACGTACAGAAACCATCACATGATATACACAAAATATTACAGGCAACATTTATTACATAATAGGCCCTAACAGCATGTATGCAAAAGATACGAGAACGAAGATATGACAATATGACGTCACAAATTTTACACACATAATTATATTGAAACATAAAAATCTTAAATTTGACGACTCATTGGTCTAGTGGTTAGTACCCCTGACTGCGAATCCATGGGTCCCGGGTTCGATCCCCGGCTGAGACGAACATCGATGTGATGAGCATTTGGTGTTGTGCTTAGGTCTTGGGTGTTTAAATATGTATTTATATGTCTATCTATCTATACTATGTATGTATATCCGTTGCCTAGTACCCATAACACAAGCTTCACCAGCTTAGCATGGGACTAGGTCAATTGGTGTGAATTGTCTTTAAAAAAAAAAAAAGAAAAAAAACAAGTAAACACTAAAACTAAATAAAAACTTAAACCTATAGAAATAAATAAACTCAAATGGAAATGGAAGGGCACATGGCAAGGGGAACAGAGAAGTAGAACAAGAAAGTACTAATTTGGTGCCCAAGGTAAAATAAACGAAAAAGTGGAAAACAACTGGTAATTAGAAACATTAATTAATAAAACAGCTGGTGACGCAAAGAGCTTTGCTTTGCTTAACGGTATTCCTACAGCTACTTACTAAACAATAATTAAAAAAATTACACTATACACAAAAGCCAAAAACGGAATACACATTTAAACATACACAAAGCACAGTTTCACCTATACAAATACAAAAAAAAAATACAAAGAATATATGTATTTATAATAAATTCTGAGTTCTAAGATTCATAGTTCATGAGGAATAACAAAGCCATTCTATCTAATAAAGGATACTAGAGTTTTTATATAATGTCTTAAGCATTTTTTATACATTATATATGTTACAGTTAACACTAGTTTTTAGTTAAAACTCGTTTTCCCTAGTTAAAAATAGTTTTTACTAAATGCCTTTGTCAAAACTAGAAATAACAAGTGAAAACTAGAATTTACCACTGATATAATTCATTTTCTGATAAAACTAGTTGTCACTCCGAGCTTTAGTTACAACTAACACTAGAGAAACTAATTTGAATTTTGGGATTGAAAACAAGATAAAGTTTTAAAAATATTTATTAAAAAGATCTAGGGTATAGAAACATAGTACCGTACCTAGTAAAAAAAACTTACACTAAAGGAACATTTTAGGGAACATCAGCATAAAGTAGTTGCCAAGGTGACAACATTAATTAAAAGTAAATAAAATAATCAAACAAATCAACAGAATACAACCATAACATTTAAAAAAGGAACATTATAATAATATTTTTAAGGGATATTGGTAAACATACAATAAAAAAATAATCAAACAACCTTAAAATTAAAAAAGATGACGATCTACTTGTTATTGCAAGACAAACTATCGTGGCATTTTGAATTACAAAGGTAGCCATTTTTCTTGCAGAGACACCTTTTTGACATACATCCTTTCTTACATACGCAGCGCATAAATCCCTGGCCTGTTCCTATGAATGCTTCCTTAGCAACAGTTCTCAAAGGTAAATTTGTATTAGGAACGTCTTCTTCATGCAAAAATGCCTTGGTCGGAACAGTTTTAACTGACTAACTTCGAAAAAACGCGTTTTGTCTAGTAATAACTAGTTTTAACTGATATTCAATTGTGAGCATTAGTTAATTCTAGTTTTAACAAAGGCGTTTAGTAAAAACGCGTTCTAACTAGGAATAACGCGTTCTATCTAAAAACCGGTTTTAACTGTAACATATACATTAAATATTTTTTTTTTTTATAGAACGGGGGCAAACGGGCAGGAGGCTCACCTGATGTTAAGTGACACCGCCGCCCATGGACACTCTCAATGCCAGAGGGCTCGCGAGTGCGTTGCCGGCCTTTTAAGAATTGGTACGCTCTTTTCTTGAAGGACCCTAAGTCGAATTGGTTCGGAAATACTTCAGTAATTAATACTACTAATATAATATATCTATTTGCTGGTAATTTCTGTTATAATCTGAAGGTATACATGACTGAGTTACGTAAATAGTTTTTAATTTAGATAATTTGACCTCGCAAGCTGAAATATCAAAATATTAGTATAACAGATCGGTTTATAACTAAGCCGTCGTCTCATGAGTAGAGAATCATGTTTGCTTTACAGTTTCCGTAGATAATTATTTAAATATTATCTATAATCTAGACCTTGACTTTATTAAAACTTTACATTAAAAGTACATATTGGAGGAGAGCAAGGTGATTAAAGTTTTTAAGGCAAGGTGCCTTTAATGGGAGAGTATTTAGACTATAAGTTTTGACAACAATTTTAAATAGCTTAACTGTTTTTTAATTATTATGACATTAATAAAATAACACTTTAAATATATTATAAGTACTATGGGAACCTTTTTACAATACACTATGTATCTATTAATAAAATATACCTAAAGTTTTTATAATTTTCTTAACTAAAAAAAATAACTAACCTTAAAATATAATAACTAAAATATATTATTTAGGCAAGGTTCCGAAGATACTGGCAGCGTTCCCCCAATAGCTAGACTAAACCTTTGTCCGAGGTAGCTGCCAGCTCTTCGGTCGTCTGTGATGTCGACTAACCTTTTTGGTATTTCCTTAAAAAATAATAACTTGACATTTGCATGCCTATTTTTATAATTTATATGGCTGATTGTGTTTTATTTAATTTTAGTTAGTTAGTAATTTTAGTTTTTAAGATATGTTAAATTATTCCGGATTTTATATCTTGTATTGATGAAACATACATTTTTAAATCAACGGAAATAAACATCTGTTGCATGGGGAGAAATTGGCTGTGCCAAAAATCAATCTGGAACTGTTTAGGAATAACACCTTTTGTATGGCAATTAAGGTTTACAATAATTTACCAAAAGAATGAAAAGATCTTCCGACTAGAGTTTATAAAAATCGACTTGGTGTATTACTTTTGGAAAAAAACATATTATTCAATAAAGGATTATTTGCGTGAGACGCTGTAGTTGATATACATCTAATAACGTATATATAATATAATATGTACGATACAAATAATAAAGAATTGACCAATTCATATGACTAATAATGTAAAATGTAAAATTCCTTAAGACAAATTTGCGCGCCATTGTGTGTGGCGGAATATGCGAACTAACGATTGTACCTCCTTACACATTTTTGTACCATGTTCTTGCAATAAATTATTATTATTGCAAGAACATGGTATAAAAATATTGGTATATGGTATTATTGGCTCATTGTTTACACCCTCCTTGTAGGTTTATTTATATTTCTATTCTTTCATCACATTACATTTGGAGTTACAAACATTGGTCGTTTCGTTCACTTTAAAAGTCAGTGTCCGATTTCCGTAATTTAAAAGACATTTTAAGCGTTTGTATGTATGGGTCGTTATACCACTTTATCCGGTTATGTTATGATAAAAGCAAAAACCATTCAACATTTGTCTCAGTCTAAACCGGTCGTAAAATGATGATTCTTGTTGGTCTCGTCTTAACCGTATTATTCGCATTCGTTTTATATAAAACAACTTGCAAATTTAACTACTGGAAACTGAGAGGTGTACCCTTTCTCCCACCAATTCCATTCTTCGGCAACTATAAAGATTACATAATCCTTAATAATACAATAACACACGTTGTGAACAAGATCTGTGACAGGTTTCGTGAAGAACCATATATCGGTGCATTTTATGGACCGGAGCCGACGTTAATTGTGAAAGATCCGGAGCACATCAAACTTGTGCTAGCAAAGGACTTTTATTATTTTAACAGCCGAGAAAATGGCGATTATGCAACCAAAGAAATCATAACAGGAGGCTTGTTCTTATCAGGCGGTGATCGGTGGAAGGTTGTAAGGCAGCATTTGACGCCATTCTTTTCGTCCGCGAAAATGAAGAAAATGTTCTACTTGGTAGAAGAATGCACGGCCGGGCTGGAAAAATTGATTGAAGATTCGCTTCAGATGCCCAAAGCAGGAGTACGGTCGATGATGGCTAGGTTTACAATAGACTGCATTGGATCGTGTGCTTTTGGCGTTAATATAAATGCAACCTCTTGCGAAGAGCAAGAAAACCCATTCTGTGTAATCGGACGTAAGATCTTTGAACCTTCCACCGCTAGAGGTCTAAAGTTAATTGGAAGAGCTGTGTGGCCGGATTTATTCTATAAACTGGGCTTCCAAGCATTCCCCTCAGACCTCACCGATTTCTTCGAAAACCTTCTGAAAAGAGTTTTCCATGAGCGAGGATACAAACATTGTGGCCGACATGACTTCGTGGATCTTGTACTAGGTTTTAAGGAAAGCAAGTACATTACGGGAGACAGTATAACATCCTTAAAGGGAGAATTTAAAAAGACGAGTATCGAGGTAAACGACTCCTTCCTCAGTGCGCAATGCGTCGTATTATTTGGAGCCGCCTTTGAAACAACTGCGACAACACTGACTTTTCTTTTGTATGAACTTGCGAAGAATCCAGACAAACAAAAGCGGGCAATAGAGGAAGTGGATCTGTATTTCAAAAACCATGATCGGATAGAGTACGAATGTGTCTATGAAACGCCGTATTTAGATGCTTGCGTGTGTGAAACTCTCAGGATTTATCCAGTTCTTGGGGTAGTGACAAGAGAAGTGGTAGAAGATTACACTCTTCCATCGGGTGTTCCCCTAACCAAGGGTGTGCGCGTCCATATACCAGTTCACCACTTGCACCACAATCCCGAATACTTTTCGGAACCGGATGTGTTTAGACCAGAAAGATTTTTAGGCGCCGAAAAGGGACGAATAAAACCATTTACATATATGCCATTCGGAGAAGGTCCAAGGACATGTATAGGTATGTAAATTATACTTAAATATACAGTTTATATTCGGTCATAATATATATATAGGTTATATAAGGTTCTTATCCAATATACATAATATGACACATAATTTTATTCGATAACGTTTACAGTCAGTTAAAAATAAAAATATTTTTTTTTTACAAAAAATACATACACTTTAAATATATATAATATTCAATTCATAAGATACAAAATATCGCTACTACGAACGTATCAAGATGTCGATACTGTCGAAGATAGCAATCAGTAAGCGCAATGTCTTTGTTAATCTATGCCTGATGCATCTTGGTATCGCAAACATACAGGCCTTCGCCGTCGCACATATCCTCTAGGTACACAGATCCCGAGTTCTTGGAGAGCACTTGGGTTGCTCACCAATACTAATTAGATAGTAATCCAACTGTAAATCCCGTCTTGTTTATCCACCATGCTATGCCAAATAAATTTTTAAATATTGTATTGAAACGCTAAAATGTAATGTAGCCCAGTCATATTAGGGGTTTCACTTCGGAATGAAAGATAAGAAGTCTCAAAAGTAACAATCACAATCGGTTTTTCATGAATATCTGGCTGTCTATTGCTTAAATGGGATTTGCACCTATTATAAAAGTTGTAGAGTATAAAATTCTCTACACGAAAACTCGTAATTTTTATGACGCGGACACGATAGCACTTGTGACTTTTGAGGCAACATTTAGAAGGACAAAACCAATTGACAGCTTATTATCTTTCATTCCAAGGTTGACCCCTTTTTTTACCTTATTAATGACTGTGCTAATAGTGTAAGTTTATTTAAAGAGAATCTAAGTCTTTATGCAGTGTTATGGCAGCGTATGTGAAACTAGGAGGCTTAAAACTCAAAATATATTCATATCGGTTAACCAGTACACTTATGAACGTCAGAAAGGAAGTTAAATTAATTCTAAATTTACATTTACCACCAGTTCGCAAGTCAAGGGCGTAGAGCGGGCAAGAAGTACTGGCAAGAAACTTTCCGCCACTCTTTTTAATTGCTATGTTTTGAGTCATACGAATTGTTTTAACTGGAGCAAATCAATCCCAAGGATCATTTAAATATTCGTCAATTTATAAAAATATTTATTAATTTACGTTTAACGAGAGCGTTCGATTTCCTTTGCTAGTGTAACAATTACATTAACAAGTACTCTGCACATTTAATAGCAATACCAATCTTGACAGTATTCAATTTTAATTTCGTCCTCTAAATCCGTAACGCTAATTGTAAGATTGGAATACCGTGGAAACAAACTCAACATCATAGTCGGGTTTCAAATCTCTATAACTAATTGAGTTATAAGGTGCAAACCTTGAATATGTCGGAGTAACGACGATTAGGTAATCTAGCAATTTATTTTTACAAATAGGATCAGAACAACAACAAACCGGTACATATTTATCTTAATAGACGTCGTTATTTTAAATACAATGCGCCATTATGGCAATAATTCATTTTAACGATTATTATTTAACAAAAAAATTTAAAGCCAACTTTAAAGAACAAAAGGAATTAAATGTATAAATAAATGTATATTGTAAATGTATATAATGTATATTTTTTTGTGCACCTGCATCCGTGGCCTGGTCTTATTCATAATTATTTCTCAAAGGAATGCCGGAAAGATCACGATTCAAAAAATATTCATTCAGGTCTGTGAGAGAAAGATTTTTTTTTTAAATATACATGTGTCTTTACTAAGACATCATGGAACATTACAATCTAGCCTAACTTAAGACTAATTTAAGTCTAACCTAATTTACTAATAAGGATTTTAACATAAGAAAGTGTCCAATAACACTACTTACAGTCTCTATTAAAGGGAAGACACTTTGTTCTTGTGTTCTATTGTTTTCTTTCACTCACTGTGTATTTAGTACTGACGTGCACTAACACTAATTCACTAGTTCGAATGGTTTTTTCCTTTTAAGTCTTCTCACTAGGCCCGTGAGAGAAAGATGACTCACAATATTATTCTTTCAGGTCTGAGATTTGCTAAAATGCAGTCAATTGCTGGTCTATTGACGTTGCTGAGAAAGTGTCAAGTGGAGTTAGTTCAGGAGACGCCCACGGAAATCCAATTCGAGCCACGGGTAATAACCACCCAACCGGTGGCGGAGATTTATTTGAAATTTACTCCAAGATTAGACAATTAATAAAAATATGAAAATATTTTGTACAGTTATTTATCGATTTTCCTTTTTTTGTATTGTTTGTTTAATTTGTTTGCCATATCAATTAAACAAACAATAGAGTCTATAGCGTTTCATCCCTTTCTGAATCTTAGTAAAGGATATCAGACCTACAAACAACGCAATAACGAATAAATATGAATACAAAAAATAAAAAAATATATATGTACGTATACTAGAGAGGTCTAGGAATATGATTTATTTATTTATACTTTATTACCTTAATCAAAAACATACACACAACAAAAATAAAAAAAACAGATTACAAAAGTTATAAGGCAACCGGCGGCCTTATCGCTAACAAGCGATTTCTTCCAGGCAACCCTAAAGTGGAACAATGAAAAAGAAACACCTACAGAGGGTAGAGTACAAGTAATGCAAAAATATTTTGTGCCATTCGGTGTCGAGACCCTTGGTCCGTGGGGTCCTAGCGCTATAAGGCTTTTTAAGGAAATCGCAAAAAGATTAGTTGACATCACAGGAGACCGAAGAGCTGGCAGCTACCTCGGACAAAGAATTAGTCAGGGGAACGCTGCCAGTATCTTCGGAACCTTGCCTAAAGGGACTCCTTTTAATAATATATTTTAGTTATTATATTTTAAGGATAGTTATTGTTTTTATTGTTATTTTTTTGTCTTGTTCCTTCTGTTATAAATATGCAAATTGACGCAGTCCTTGAAAAAAATGTACACGTGTACATTAAGGTGATTCATGTCATTTAAATGCCTTGTCTAAACTACTGAATCTTTCTGTATATAGGACTCTGAGTACGACGTTTAATGTAGTTTCAATAACACAAAAGTTAGTCAAATTATCCTTAAACCAACAAAATCTATAACAAATAAACTCAATGAGTGTCTAAGTGGCACAACCCATGAACACAAACATATACTATGTTGCCTACATTTATATTATCGACACGTGTGTGAAATTTTAATGTTGTATCCCTGTAGAGGCGTTTACGCATGCGCAGCACACCCCTAGATATAAAAGGGTGACCATTAATATCATTTATCTCGAATAACAAAAATTTTGTAATACACAGTATCATGCCAATGTTATCAATGAACATGATATTTCAATTACGAGTAAATCACAAAGAGTTAAAACATATGTAATAGCTTTTATTTTTTTACGTAAAGTAAGGTAGATCTCTGTAGAGAGGTCTCGCACTCGCGAGTGCGTTGCTGGCCTATTAATAATTGGTACGCGCCTTTCTTGAAAAACCCTAAGTTGAATTGCTTCGCAAATACCTCAGCGGGCAGCTGGTTCCACATAGTGGTGGTGCGCGGCAGAAATTGCCTTAAAAAACTTACAGTTGTGGAACGACGGACGTTGAGGTCATACGGGTGGAATTTCGTCTGCCTGGTCGTCCGATGATGAAACTCAGTTGCAACTACAATCAACGAACTCCTCAGGACACTCTCCGTGGTAGAAGACGACTTTGACGACTCATTGGTCTAGTGGTTAGTACCCATGACTGCGAATCCAAGGGTCCCGGGTTCAATCCCCGGCTGAGACGAACATCGATGTGATGAGCATTTGTTGTGCTTAGGTCTTGGGTGTTTAAATATGTATTTATATGTATATCTATCTATAATATGTATGTATATCCGTTGCCTAAGTACCCATAACACAAGCTTCACCAGCTTAGCATGGGACTCGGTCAATTGGTGTGAATTGTCTTTTAAAAAAAAAAAAAAAAAAGAAGGTAGAGAGCTCAACGCCAAGGGATCAAGCCGCTCGGAAAGGGTGTGATTTGGATCTTCTAACGAACGATTCAAACTTCGTTGAATACAGCCAAGTGTAAGGAGCTGCTACTGGGGAGCTCCCGCCCAGAGGTGAGAACAGTCCTCCATGGCTGAATTTGCGCTGAAGAAGAAGAACTGTCTCACCTTGCTGAGCACACCAAGCTTCTTGGAACTTAGTGTTTCCTTTCGAATGACCGCGAAACTGAAACCCAAATTTGATTTTATCATAGTGTCCAATTGATTAGTAGACTTAAATATAATCGATACTTATTTGGTAATCTTGTTTAATCTTATCTTTAAAGTAATTAGCGCGGAAGCTATTTATATACTATTTTTGTTGCCGTGTTAAGTACATTATCGTAGGTATGAATAATATAGTTGCTTCTTATTGCCTATAAAAGTCAGTTGCGCCGCAACTTATTTAGGTCTAGGCCTCAGATTTCTGTATCTGTTTCATGATCGTTTGTCAATAATAATAATAATAGTCAAGTAGGTGATCAGATACCTGACACACGCCGTCGACTTTTTTGGGTCTAAGGCAAGCCGGTTTTCTCGCGATGTTTTCCACTACCGTACGAGCGAATGTTGAATGCGCATAGAAATAAAGTCCGTTGGTGCACAGCCGAGGATCGAACCTATGACCTCAGTGATAGGATTTGGCATTTTTGATTTGGCATTCTGAAAAGGTGACAGCTTGTAGTTTATTGTTTATCAGAATGCCAAATCATAAAGTGACTGCTTCACGACTGATTTGAGAGCGACCGCCGATGCGAAAACCGCTGCGTGAGTTCGAAAAGTGAATTACAGAATCGCAGGGCTGCTCTTATTTGTACATATACACGAACATAGTGTCAAAACATTATCGAACACGAAGACTGTTAATGAACATTACCTTAGTTTAGGCTATTCATTAGTTTTGTAGAAAATTAGGTCAACATAATTTATAGCCATAATAATTGTATAGGCTAGATTGTAATTCATGTAAAGTTGCACTCTTTGTGAACTTTATTGTAGGAAAAGTAATTACAAACAATGGTCAATTATAATTTAATGATGAATAGAAGATATTATAGAAGCGTTAGCAGGAAGCAAATGTAGAAAGATAAAGATATTTGGAAAGACTTGAAGGAGGCCTTAGCAAGTGAAGAGCCGCCCTCAATGATAACAGAAGGAAGATAGGATATCGAGTAACAAGAAAAAATATTAAAACTGTATATTCAACATTCAACACTGGACTTTAAAGACAACTGTATAGAAAGGACCAAGGGGAAGAAGGAGAAGAGGGTGCCCCAATAAAAGGTGGATAGAAGAAATAGAAGCCTTAGCAGTAGGCGAATGGAGAAAGAAAGCCATAAAAAAAATATGTTTAATATGGAACATAAGACACAGGTATCACTTATTCCACGTCATTAAATTTGAATTTGTAGGCATCCCTACTCATTGGCAAAGAAGACAGAGGGTGTAGGCCGAGAGAAAAAGACGGCGTAAAAAACACTCGGTACTCCTTTAAAATAGCAAATCATAGAGAGAGTCAGTTGGAAAAAGCTGGGGGATGCCTTTACCCAAGAAGAGCTTCCGATCGACGGTTCTGAAGGTAGCTACAACATAAGGTACAAGATAAAAATAATGTATAAAATATAAACAATCTACGCTGTATAAGATCATTTTTTGTCATGATTGGAATTTAAACGGGCTATAAATTATTACAATCAACATTTGTAAATATTGGAAATAAACGAGCTTTATTATCATTACTATTATTATTAATGTACGATAACCTCTAAGAGATATAATGTTGACACGTTGCAATTGAGTTATGCAGACAAAACACAAGACAGATTAGATGTGTTTGCGCATCGGGTTCTTCTATATTTTCATTACACTTGCTGTTATTATTTTATTTATTTACACTTTGTTGCTTTATGATATAAAAATTTAACAAAATTACAAGTAAAGGAAAGGCAACTGACGGCCTTATCGCTTTCGAGCGTTCTCTTCCAGGCAACCACTGTGAGAAAAGAAAAAAAAGAAAATGTATTAAATTACATAAGGTAGGCAAAAAGTGCAAAAATACATGTATTACATATACTTGTAAAGAAAAAGATACTAAATAGGAACTATAAAAAAACAAACTAAACTAATAAAGGATACATAAAAAAAAAATTATACTTATAATAATAAAAAGTGCACATGAATCATTTTAATTTAATTTAAGATCAGTCTCACGTCGGTTAGTTGGTATTATTAAAGTTAGGGATACGATGATTTATTACCCATGTTACCCGATAAACTGGCTAATCCGCAACTTCCTCTACCCGTATGCACAATATTACCCATTAATTAAGCCACAGAAAAAATTAATAAAAGTTCATTCAAGATCAACGTTTAGATCATTTATCTATATAATATAATTAGAAAAGAAAAAAATTCTACTAAAATGAATGGTTAACCATAGTTTATACAAATATTTTGATACTTTTTATTCAAAATACGATCAGATCTATTAAATTATTTGTTATAAATTCAATAAAATTTAATGCATAAAATTGCGTCAATATAACAATCAAGAAACATTAAATAACATTTTACTAAATCTATACATTAAGTCCAAAAAATGTCTTTTTTTCCCACTGACACTCAATATGGTACTCACCAACTATGACCCATGTAAGGATAAAGTAACCATTTGTAACCATCACATGTATGGTGGACTCCACCAACAAGATACTCGCCTGGCTTTTGAAACCTACTATGTCTATGACAAGGTTGTGGCCCCCGAAGGGTCTCCATAACTAACCAAATACTTGCCCCGGTAGGATGTGAGAGCGATTCTCTGACGTAGACTTGTAGGAACTACTCAAAGTGGTTTTATCCGGTCTCTGAATAGCAGATATTCTAAATGGGTTACCTTAACATTTTGTATTGTATTTGTATTTATCTTGACAAATTTTAAATCCCTGGATGCAGTGAATTATGGTCACCTCACAACCCGACGCTTCATCTCTAGTAATCCCAGTATTTTCCCAACCCTTGTGACGTAGTGTTTTCCTGGCTATTCTCAAAAACATATCAATTAAAAACACATATCCAGCCATTAATCGATTAATTCCAGTGTTTTCCATTTAAACGACGTATAGATACTTCAAAGGTAAGCAATTTATATTCTGTGTCCTCTTTTAATCGTTATGGCTGCTTTTAATTCTCCATTGATTATATTTTCAATGAAGAAATGACCGTATAACATATTACAATTGTAAATTTATTTAAAACCTTAATGAGATGTAACATTTTATTCGGTTATAGCTTTTCTTCAAATGTGTTTATTTGCTTTTTACTTGTGTAATGCAAGGCGTTTCCACGCGTCGATAAAGGTACAATGCAACAGATCGCGTCCCGACCTTGGCCTTGGACAATAATTAGAATCTAGATAGACCTAAGAGGTGTTCTGCCCAAGAATTATATACAGTCATTTTTGGCAAGATAAAAGACACCATTTATTTAATGTTGGCTATTTATTTACAAATATTTTAGTTTAGGTCAAACGAATATATAAATAAATTTAAAAATCATTTTTGAAATTTAATTACCGTATACCATCCGTTTTTCAAAATAATTGATTACTGCTGTTGTCGACTTATCTGCGAGTTCTACATCTTCTCATTTCTTTTTCGAATATAAATTCACATTATTAATATATGAATATAAATGTGAATTTATATTCGAAAAAGAAGTTTTTTAAATGCGAATTACATGTTCCCAATACATTTTAAAATAAAATTAAACAGTTAATCCATGATTATCTCTAAAGTATTCACAGTTGTCTTTTATTTGTGTATTAAAGAGTCGTATTAGTTAAACTACTATGTAATAAAAACAAAACATTGTAGCGAGTGATAATTTTAAATTTTATATTTGTATTACAACGCACTTAATGGATTAAAGTTATACTAAATAGACCCAATTTTAATCGCAATTACCTCTTTTATGGCCTTGAATGTAAAAGTCTTGTATTCTTAAATATAACTTTTTAAAGGAAAAAATAGTAATTAAAACTTTACTTTATTTTATTTTTTTCAACTTTTTAATTATTTTGAATTTGGAACACGTATTATTTTTAAAACTTCTTTCGATTTTGCGCCATTTCACGATTGTTCGTGTTCATTATAAAATTACAATATGGAATGAGATGTTAAAGAAAATAGGATCGCAGATCGCCTTGCACAAAGTGGGTATATAGACGTTGGTCATATTCCAGATACTTCAAAATCATAGTATGTTCATTTATTGTATTATCAACAGATATAACACTGTCACTATCTGATAACCAGAAAAGCTGTTAGAACTACAAAGACTTAATGTTGTTAAAGCCAGCACAAAATCTTATCAAAATGAAGATTCCCGCTAGGACTCAGTCGCCTATTATAAAACAAGACCTGAAGCTCGGTGCTCATCCTGGATATACAGGATATGCCCTAAATCAATATTTACAAGTTTTGTTTGTAGCAATCAATGGAAATGAGCAGTTGATGCATATGGCCGCATGGGCAGCCTACCGGACCTGACGGAGCGTTCGCGGTCGAGCGTCCGCCCAGCCGCGCGGACCATCTCAGACCCCAATCGACATAGAACCGTTGTACCACAGGTAACATATATTGCTATTTTCATGTTAATAAAAGGTACGTAGTGACTGGCAGGGACGTGTGTAAAGAGGTGCTGTATTAAGTAGTAAACAAAAGTAAACTATGGTAGGGAAATGGGTAATTTCAGCAGAAAATGAACGGCGTACATACAGTACTACCTCAGAGTCAAGGATACCTTTTTTAAATTTACAATTAATTTTGAGTTTCATTATCGGCGTCAAGGCAGAATACAAAATACCATCCGTACCACCTCGACGTCCGTCGTTCCACAACTGAGCGTTTCTTAAGGCAGTTTTTGCCGCGTACCACCACTATGTGGAACCAGCTGCCCACTGAAGTATTTCCGAACCAATTCAACTTAGGGTCCTTCAAAAAAAGAGCGTACCAATTCTTTAAAGGACGGCAACACACTTGCGAGCCTATAATATATCTTTATTACGAAAGTAAATAAAATTCACCAATAAAGTTTAACATTTAACCAAGAGATAACCATTATCAACAGTATAATTAGATCCAGTAATACCATTTGCTTTATCACCCGCTAAGAATAAAACAACATCTGCTATCTCCTCTGGTGAACTGTAACGCTGAAGTACAGTTGGAAATGTTGGTCTCTCATACCCTGGACTAGAATTGGTTTAATATCAGTTTCCACTGGTCCCGGGCTTACAGCATTCACTCTTACACCATACTTTCCCAGTTCTAATGCTGCACCTTGAGTAAAATAGTCTAATGAAGCTTTTAACATTCCATAAACGGTGTACTGATAAGCGTATAGTTGTCTCCCTGATACACTTGAAATGTTAATTATATTTCCTTTAGAAGCAATTATGTGCGGTGTGACAGAATTAGTCATCTTTATCACTGCGCGTAGATTTATTTTAACTACGTGATCGAATGCGTTTAAGAAGGTATCATCTGCAAGGCTGCTAAGTTGTACGATTCCAGCGTTATTGACTAAAATGTCTATCTTGCCGTGTTTTTCAATTGTTTTATTAACAATTTCTTCGACATCGTGGTCATTAGTTAGATCGGCTTGGATAATAAGTGGAGATCGATTGACTTTGCACTCCTCAGCTACCTTTTCCAGTCTTTCCCTATTTCTTCCGGTTATGACTACGTCAGCCCCTTCTCTTGAAAAGGCGATTGCTAATGCAGCTCCAATACCTGCGCTGGATCCGGTAACAATTACAACTTTGGATTTAAAAGACATTTTGCGTGCGTTTGGACAGGTTTTAAATACATTAAATTTTATCGGTTACCTTGCTACGTACAAATGTTTATAGTCTAAGAACCAAAAATAATTATTCAAAGATTTTGTTTTATACGTATTTAATAAGTATGTATTAATTTGCTATTCGTTTCTATTATATGCTACCTAATTATAGACGACTGAAAAATTATTAGGCATTCCTTTCACACTTAAAACTTTATTATTACAAATAACAATTTGTTTCAAGATATTATATGTTATGTCAACCATTTGCCTAAGTCGTTTACACCTATCGGTTTTAATATATTCATGTTATTTTAATCAAAACCCGTTTCATTTTATGTCGACAAATAAAATACCAGCTGGTATAACATTTGCATATATTAAGACCAAAGAAAACAATAAGATAATTCGGTATGTGTCATTAGTAAAACATTGCTTTCAAATTGGCTTGAAATCGGTTACAAATATTTTAAACTATAGTTTATTTAATTCAGACCTACAAATTGAACACATTCAAATTCCTTTTCAGATTCCTGTTAACACAATTTACAAGAAGGAATGGTCATGGCAGAAAACAAAGACCCTTATAAAGTTGCCACCTGTGCCTGGAAATCGACGGAGGGAGTCAGTTGCATCGTCCCTGGGTGCCGCCTCAGTCCGGCGCCTTATTACGCGACCGCCCCAAAAACTCCCCAAACCTCTTATTACACGGTTCACTCTTCTCTGCATAGCAAGTGGCCTGTCCTCCACAGCTCTTCTCCCTTTCACGGCATACGCAGGCGCCGAAGCTGGTGCCATGCCTTTAGCTATAATGCACACCATCGCGGCCATTGCATCACCTTTCTCTCCCATCATCCTACAAAAAACAGGAACCAGGATAGTCATTAATTTAAGCTACGTTTTGATTTGCGTTCTCTTAGCCGCTCATACGGTTGATACGCCTCTCTCTATTCTTCTCTTTCTCTATAGTATTTGTGGGGTTATGCTCTCTCCAATGGAACTGGCTCTGGCTGCGTCTGCGACGTCTTTTTCACAAGCAGCTGGCGATGAATGCAGGAGGAAAATAGCGCTGAGACGAGCGTTGAGAGCTCTTCGAGCGTCACATGACTTGGGGCTGGTGTTGGGATCGCTTATGTTAGGAGGAGCATTATTAATCTGGCCAGAAGATTTATTACCATTACTGCAGCCAAATTCAATACATAATTATACAACGCCAAGTTGGCCGCCATCAGAGGATGATTTAGTTGAAGAAGACTTTGAGGTGAGTGGCTGCAAAAATTAAAAAAAAACCAGTAACGCTACAACCTATTTAGGTCTGCACCTCAGATCTCTGTGTCTGTTTCATGATCATTTGTTGATCTAGGCAAGTAGGTGATCAGCCTCCTGCTTGAAACACACCGTTGACTTTTTGGGTCTAAAGCAAGCCGGTTTCCTCATGATGTTTTCACCGTTCGAGAAAATGTTAAATGCGCACATAATCAGAAAGTTCATTGGGGCGCAGCTGGGGATCGAACCTACGACCTCAGGGATGAGAGTCGAACGCTGAATAAACTCTAGGTTAAATGTTTCAAATAATCATTAATTCTTAAAATACTTTGTTTTGAGGAGCCAGTAGCCTATGTAGCTATTATACGCTTTTTATAGATGGCATGCAAGATATAATCCTTCCAGCGTAGCTTATGTGTGCACTTTATTCTATATGACCCTGTTCCATAAAACATAATTGTGTAAGATAAAGGAAAGATAAATAATTTCAGGAAAGGACATGTGGAGCGTTCGGTTGTCCAGACATCCAGTCACTGGTAGGCATGGCTCTTAGTGCAGATGGTCGCCGGGTTTTGGTAGCTGTTTGGGCGGTTATGGCGTTAGTTGCATCAATTTTGGCCCTCTACGGGGCAGCTGCAACACCATCACCACCTCCAGATGCTCGTTCTGTGCTTAAAGATGCCAGAGGACTTCTAGGAATTCCCATGGGATTATTTATTGGATTGCAACAGGGTTTTATATATACTTCATACATTAAGGTATAAACCAATTATTTTTATTTACTAGCGGACCCGACAGACATTGTCCTGTGTGAACTATGAATACCTTTTGATTTCGAATTGGTATAATTAACTAAAACAAATACTACAGAAGCAAAGTGTTAATTATTTTAATGCTTTATGATATACAACATTGTTTGTTGTTTTTCTGGCGCGTATTAAATAGGTTTGTTGGTATTCCGACACGGGAACAGATGTATTTTATCAATATAATAACTCCGATCGAAGCATTTGTTTTACACGATGTTCATTTTTCTTACATCCTCTTTGACGATATTTGAAGCACGCATTCTGTCATGTTCTTGTTTTGAAAAAATGTTTTTATTAGGCATGATTATTGAAACTACGGATTTGTTCTTTGATAATATCTCTATAATGCCTTAAAATATAATACATTTTTTATGTAATAGGCAAACGGGCAGGAGGCTCACCTGATGTTAAGTGATACCGCCGCCCATGAACACTTACATTGCCAGAAGGCTCGCAAATGCGTTGCTGGCTATCGGTACGCTCTTTACTTGAAGGACCTTAAGTCGAATTGGTTTGGAAATACTTCAGTGGGCAGCTGGTTCCACGTAGGTTCGCGGCAACGCTTAAGAAACGCTCAGTTGTGGAACGACGGACGTCGAGGTATACGGATGATATTTTGTATTCTGCCTTGACGTCCGATAATGAAACTCAGCTGCATTTATTAGTACGAACAACTCCTCTGAACACTCTCCATGGTAAATGCGGTAGAAGATGCAGAGAGACCCCACATCTCTATGCAATGGATCAAGCCGCACGGAAAGTGACTGGTCGTTGACGATTCGAATCAATCTTCGTTGAAATATGCAGAATAAGTCAGGAATAATTCCTAGTAATGCAGTTTTTCAGGCAATATTGGGAAGTATTACATAAACGACCAACTGATTAACTACATTATGTATAATTAAATGGAAAATGTTTTTAAGACCTCTAAACGGTAATATTATATCTTGTTGTATCCTTTTTTCAGTGGTACGGCGTGTGTGTAGGTGGTTGGAACGAAGCTTGGCGTGCACTTTGCGGTGCTGGAGCGCTGCAAGCGTTAGCCGCTGCTACTCTCAGTATGGCAGCCGCTCGAGGAAGACGTGGCTATTTAGGCGCTGGAGGTGCTGCAGCCCATGCTTCATTGTTGCTAGCGTTACTTCGCTGGAGAGCTGCTAAAACTGATCTAGCTCTACCCACAGTTGCAGCCGCTGCATGGGGCGCTTGTTCCGCTTTGTGGGATGTGTTACAGGTATGTACCTATATATTCTTTATGAAATGTACAGAAAAAAAATACTTTGTGTTGTCAACCTAAGTGGTGAATGGTACTTTATACTTAAATAAATTGTTTTAAGAATGTTAATTTTCTGATTATTATGAAAATAAATATGTCATTTGCATGCCTACTTTTATATATGTAGATGATTGTGCGGATTTTTTATAATTAATCTATCTAATCTATGTATACTTTCTTGGAAAATAAACGATTTCTTATTAATAATAATATTTGATATTAAATGCGACTTAAGTTCAAAAGTTAACAAAAATTCTAACTTTTCAGGGTGGAATAACAGTAGGAGGTCCTGGGTGGCGTGGGCCTTGGTCCCTTACACTCAGCGCACGACATGCGGGGCTGGCTCTAGCCTGTGCAGCGCGACAGTTTCTCTGTGTGAGGACACAGCTCGCTGTCCTAGCACTTGCCCTTTTCACCGCCTTGTCGTCCCATGCTGTACTGGAGCTGCGGCTTAGGAGGGAAATCCGTCATCGCTCCTAGCGACGGTATGGCCAAGCCAAAGAGAACAATGCATTCCATGTTATGGCTTGACAGTGACAAGTTTTGATGTTTGGTGTTATGAACAGTGTTTAGTGTCAGATTCTCCCATTTACTTGACATTGACGGAATCTTTTCTAACTGGATAGCAACTTAAAATGTATGTCATGTTTGACCAAGAAGATGGCAATGTTATCTTCTTTAATTCAGATAGTTTGTAAGTTATTTACCGATTTCATAATAAGAATAACGCAGAAATGGCCGAAGTTTTTTTATTTAGAATTCTTGTGTAATAAAATGCAAGATCATATTAGTCTCATCCATGTCGTAGCCCTTATTCATTTTTGTACCGCGCTCCCAATGTTCGGTTATCGGCGCTACGGATATTAAGAGAACTGAATCAAACTTGAATACAAACACGTCAGAATCGATATTGCTGTCGTTATTAGATGTTACGAACCCTGGCGTCTGTTATAGACATCTATTCTGTGGTAGAAACTTCGTACATTTCCGCCTTTGCTAAACGTATCTACTAATTGCTTTACACCACTAGAATGTTCTCATAACCTATCGCTTGCCCTGGGAAACAAAGTCGTAAAAGCTAATTCTATTATTTTCGGGAAAAATAAAAGAAGCTAATGCTATCATTTATTACTAGGATACTAAGTACATTACATACACTAATATATATATCAAATGAAAGCTAATTTCCTATTCGACGATTTAAACATTGTTTTTATGAATTTAGTATAAATAGTTAAAAAAATAACTAAATGTACATGACAGTTATTTATCTAATTTGACTGAAGAAAGCGTTTTATGATTGATTAACTGTTTAAACATAATTACGGACGACACAGTAACTGTACAGTGTACATTACGATACTCATTTTGACGTATTTCTAGAACGTATCTAATAATTTATTAGGTACAACTCGTTTCGCGGAAATATAAAGAACTAACTAAGAACTAAAGAACTAAATATATCAAACAGAGATATATTATTACCACTCTTTCTTTGTTTTTAAGCTGTCGCATTAAATTTTATGATTATTTGGTAGAATCCCTCCTCCGCTGAAGTGTCTTCAATTAAAGTCGAATTTTAGTCGCAGTTATAAGACACATCTACTTATTCAACAAAAGTCCCACGAAATTTAGTTTTTATCCACCCATAAAACAAAAAATATCTACTTATTTACAATTATTCTTATTTTTAACTTTTAATTTTATTTTATTTATTATACACAGTTACACACGATTTACTCACACTTCTAACTTTAATATTATTATTATTATAATTTTTCTACTTGGTATTATTATTATTTATATTATTTTATTAGAGGCGCAAACTAGCTTCTGTGGTCTCTGGCAGAATGACCAGCGCTGTGGAACTTTTTGCTCCTCAGCATAATGCTGAGCCAGGGCCAATTACAACCACAGTACACACACATTGCACACTGGAAGCGAACCGAATGGCAAAAGGGAATTTTTTAATTTTATTTTTTATTGTTTTTGATGTCTTATTTTTTTTTTCTTTAAGTATTGTTATTTTGTGTGTTTATGTGTGTGTGTTTTCGTTTGTAATAAATGTCTATGTCTATGTCTAGAATTACAATCTGAACTAAAATTATCTTTATAGTTGTTGCCATCTATTTCAGGATAGTAAAATTAGATAAACGAGTATTACTAACATTGTGAACAAAAAAATTCCGTAGAATATGACATTCTCGTGTTTTGCAAAAAATCAGAAAAAATTACAGTTATTTAAAATTATATATAATTCTCGTGTCACAATGTTCGTTCCCATACTCCTCCGAAACGGCTCGACCGATTCTTATGAAATTTTTTATGCATTTTCAGTAATTCTGAGAATCGGACAACATCTATTTTTCATCCCCCTAAATGTTAAGGGTGGTCCCATCCCTAAATTTTTATTTTTAAGTTTTAGACAAAACTTATTGGTTTTTTTTTAATGATACAAAAATACATATAACTCTTGATTGTCTCCCCTCTACGATCAACCCCTATTTTTATTATACTAAAAAAATGTTTCCTAGAAATAATATACATGGCAAAACAACGTTTGCTGGATCAGCTTGTATTATATAAAATTATACCCAAGGAAGTCAAACATGAAAAATCATTAAAACTGTCGTAATAGCGCTTTACGACTGATCCCCGGGGCTAGCGATATAATACAAATAAAAATGATGATCTCATTGTATCTTCACCGAATACTTGGTGTATATAATAGACTTTTCTAATGCCCCAATCAGGGTAGACTTTCTAAAGTGCTGTGAATGTTAATTGTTAGTAAAAAAATCGTTGCTTCTTTATATCGTCAAATAGAACTCCATTTCATATGCACATTTTGAAACTTATATATCACTCATCTTGAGATTGCTACTACATACATTAAATGTTATATATTATAACGAATTTGTAGTAATAAGTCTATCGAAATATCGATTTTTACTCATGAATGAAACGTATCAAATACCTGTGAAATAAATCCGTATCGGACTTGACAAGAATTAATTACCAAAAACAACTACTGCGCATTTGTCGACTCTTGGTAACGTGAGGGGAACTATACAACTTGAAAACTATCGCGTCTAAAGCTTGCCATAGACCAGTGTTTCGCAACGTTTTTTGTGCCATGCCCACCTTAGCCCTTCTAAAGTTCTTGTGCACAATACAAACATAATTTTTATTATTAAAAATATATTTTTTACTTAAGAAACTTAAATGGTAGGTTTTGGGAATCAATAGGGAATTGTTGACGTAACACAGTAAGTAAATTTTCAGAACATATAATGAAAAAAATAAATTCAATTCATAGTATTGTCTTTGATTAACATAACCTTTACACATTTAAAGAAAAAACTTTTTAACCGGATTAAAGTTATGTATTATTATAAATTTACAATTATTTATAACTTTAATCCGGTTAAAAAGTTTTTTCTTTAAATTCAATTCACAATAATTTAAAAAAAGATTTTTCTATATTAATTAATTATTTTAATTTAGTGAGATCCTATCGCTTGATGCTTGCTGCACAGAGATACTAGGTTCCCATTCGGTTAGGTTCAGTCTCAAGTCTCCATGTTGTGTTATATCCAGCCGATTTCGATTTCCCCTCCCCCTTAACAAATTGCCCCCCTATGGGGCGTGTGCCCCACGTTGGGAAACACTGCCATAGACACTCGACTCGACAATTTTCAAGATTCTATTTACATTGCAACGTTTTTTGTTGCGACTCGCGTATCAACTATAAAATGTAAAAAGGGTATCAAAAACTATAAGTATGCATATTATGTATTAAGTTGTACGCGATAGTTTAGTGCAACAAAAATTGGTTACGTTAAATCTTTATAACTTCCAATGATAGTAAATAATTATTTGTAAGTCGTATCAATAATATTGTGTTTGTTTATATAGTTTTCCTACAGTTTTTTTTAACCAGTGCGCAGTAATTAGTACTTGTAATTTTAGTTAATATTTTGTATTTCATAACTGTATTGTTATAATAAAGGTTCTTCTTCTCAGTATGATTCCAATTTTTCGATTATAAGGATGTGTTAAATGTTTAGATTTATATGGAAAATAAATATTGATTGTTGGTTGTTAATTTTTATTTTATCGTGAATTCTAGAAAATGCGACATTACACATTACATACATTTTTCTCTTCAGTCAAAAGTAAAAAATCATTTATTCAAGTAGGTAACACAATGTTCAGTTATGAACGTCATAAAAAGAAATATACATTAAACGCTTCTAATTTTACATTTACTGCCAGTTCTCAAATCATGGGTGTAGAACGTAAGAGAAGAACTGGCAATAAACTCTTCGCCACTCTTTTAAGTCGGTAGCTTATGTCTGATCGTCGTGGTCAGCAAGGATACATCTGGAGCGGATACATCGGGCTGCTGACATAGAATCCATTTTTATTTTGCAAAAGAGAGCGTTCAGAGCCATTTATAATCTTCGTCGTTGCGAATCTCTCAGGGAACTATTTAAAAAGATTAATATTATGACAGTACCTTGCCAATTCATATATGAAAATATTATGTATGTAAGAAAGAATCTACATCTTTTTAGTAAAATAAATGAAAGACATAATTTTAGTACTAGAAATAAAGATAAAATAGCTCAACCATCTTTCAGATTAGCCAAAGTTCAAAATTCATTTAAGTATGGGATACTGTGTGAAATGTTACAATAAAATACCTTGTGACATTTTAAAACTAAATGAACGAAAATTTAAACGTTTTATTCTTATGCATATTACAAAGTAGATGATTATATTCAAGATAAGAATGCTTGGAAACATGCTGGTCCTGCTCCATAGGACAATCATAGAGCCTGGACAAAATCAAATTGGTTGCTGATTTTTTGCTATAACATATTTTTGTTATTTTTTTTTTAAATTTATAATGCTACAAATGTAATTATTTTATTTTATCTCACACACTGTTTTGTTGTGTTTTTTTAATATTTTTATTACTCTTTAATGTTAATATTCTACGGTTTCGATATTTGTAAATATGTGAGGAACATGTATACTAACTTTTTTAGTATAGTAGTTTATTCTAAGAGTACATTGTCTTCACATATAATTATTTAACAAATGTAACAAAATATTGTAAACCTATTTTAAAAGAGTTAGTGTGGTTTCTTGCCCATTCTTCTCCACACGAAACTACCTTTTGGAAGGGGCAACTAGAATCTTCTTTGTATTTTTTTTTGACGTTCAAAAGTGCCATTTTAGATGGTCTAATTGAAATAAATGATTTGACTTTGATTATCTGTTTCCACCGGTTTCTGTCCAGTGCCTCTCTTATAACAGTGTATAGTGTTGAGGACGATGAGTCTTTCACTTGATCGGTACATCTGGTGAACGGCCACGTGATCTTTTGCCTTCTGTGTTACCAACCACGATCAGTCTCCAAATTCTCATCACCATAGAAATGAATACGGAACAGATACAGCAATTTGAAGCGCCATTGGTACATACAATATAACGAAAGGTTTTTGGTCCATGTTATGTCTAATGTCTTGTCAATAATAACCTCATTCGGTCCTTTACTTTCACATATGCACGCTGTAGATTTATTGACTTTTATAGGATAAGGGGGCAAATGCGCTATGGACACCCATTTTAGTGGGTGCGTTACCGGCCTTTGAGGGAGGAGCTATTGCATTGAACAATTGGAAGACGTATCTCCCAGGAATGACCCCACACCGGTAGTGGATTCCACAGTTCATTAGTTCGTAAAAGAAAGTGTCTTGTGACCGGACCGTGGAAGACTTCCAGCCATCAAGGTGATGCTGATGAAATTTTAATACAGCTCGTACGAGGCCGAAGGGATCAACCCAAACAACTATTTTCCTTTCATTGATAACACCTGTCGTACTGCAATTTGGTCAAAGTAATGGTTTCACAGGTTAGGCTACCAAATGAAAACTGCCTCATAGGAAAGAAGTTTTTAAGACTATTTATTTGAACCTTCCTGTTATTCAAGTTGGTGCTAATGGCCGTGAGTCTAAATATGTTTGGGATATTCTTAATAACCACGAAATGTTTTGCCTAAAATTAGGAAACTTATAATACGTCATGGAAGGTTATAACTACTTGCATTTATTGTACTTAATATTAGAGTTATATATGTAGATGATATCATAGTAAGACATTTGCAATCTTACTAGAAAATGATTTCCTTAAACTGGCTATAATTAAAAGCCCTAAACGTGCAGTAAGGTTTCGGATGGGCCTTTTAAGTGTGTAACCCCCTAGGACTTGAAGAGCACAGGGTGGGAACATCAGTGAACGGTCTCGGTCTTATAAAATGTGTGAAAATGAAACTTCAATATCAACATTAACACAATTTTATTCTTATAATATAGCCCCATCTTGTCAACATTATTAAATCTTGAACAATGGCACTACTGGCTTTGACAGTTAAGGACTAGTCTTGACTAGAATATATTTAGTATTAAATTTCGTTCCAATCCGGTTCGAAGGACCAATTTTTTGAAGAATAAATCAAACATCCTGGTTTTTCAGATTTTCATTTATACTATTAAACCTAAGTAACAATGATTAGTAATAACAAATAGAAAAAAAAACTAAAATAAATATATGCCAGTAGAACCACATCAGTATCTGTAAAAACCATTCAAAAACGCTACCTGGGACTTATAATATACATATTATATATTGTTAAATATATACGGCAATATAGTTACACTTCACAGTTCTGTTTTGGAGTACAATTTAATTCCGGCCGATTCTGATTTGTCTATAATTTTAAGGTCGGTTCTACCAAAAGTTTTCCTATATTATATAATTAAGATTTGCTTGATTCGTTCATCGTTCTGGTTTTTATCTGGTCTACGTAAAATGTTTTTGCGTCTAGTAGTAAGATATATTTTCGTGATGGACATGAGGATGGCGATTCTGCTTCTGTTTTCTTGATTTAAGAAAAGTAGTTGACTTGCTGTTTGAAAAAAGCAAGATTTTTTTATTTGAAGCTAAGATTTTAATACATGCAATATGAGCGGTGCATAACTTATCTTTGAAGCATATTTTTTTATTTAGATCGGCGTTGTACAGTCCGATATCAGCAGGTACTCATATGATATTTTTAATAACTAGCTGTTTATATGTTGTTTTTATAAAGCAAAGCACTAATTCAAAGATTATGGAAATTAAACAACATTAATTATTAATCTTAAGTGTAGTTTCTTTGTTAATATAACAGAATTACTCAAAAGCCTCAATGTAGTAAGCAGCTAATTTTTATCAAACTCTTAATAATCCTATAACTATCTATCTTTTGCAGTACGAAACGGATTATGTTGCTGGACTTTGATTGGTCTAGAGATGATGTAGACCAATCATAATCAAGGAACACGATATTCTTTGTTGGGTTTAAGATTTACAAACAAAACACAATCGGCCCTCGCAAGCGTCACGCATAACTATTACTGCCGTAGAATACATCAATAATAATGAACATTATTGTCTGCCTACATAGTTTAACATCTAAACCACCTCAAGTCTTAACAAGCATGGACTAAGCTACGACACACCTTAAAACAAGCGCCAGGCCGTGACTTTAGTTAATTGACGAAAAACGCTGTCAGAGATGTATTGAGTAATTTTAGTTGTAGCGAAAGCTCTTAATATTAGGTCAGAATCGTAATTCCATTTTTAAAAAAATGTACACTGTCAGATTTGATTTAACCATTCGACAGTTGACAACTTTGTCAACAGTCTGTGTAAAACTATCGCTAATAAACTTTTTAGGGGCCCTAGACAAAGATACTTTGCGACAGACGCAACCATATACACTAATCGTATTTGTATGTGTCCTGATGCGCACAATTTTATGTTACGATAGGAATACGCCTATCGCAGTGTTTTCTCTAAAGTCCCACTTCCAAAGAGATCACAGGCTTCAAAATGCAGAAATGATTTAATCACGGCCTGTTAAAAACTGAATATTTTGCCTACATTTTGTTAACTTTGACAACAACTAGATTTATTAAATTTAACCATTGACATTGTTTTATTTATGGTTATTCTGTCACATTAAGAGAGGCTTATTCTGGAATTAGGTCACTGTAGACTGGACGTAAATACTTTTTAATGTGTCAAACAGTACACATTATTGCCAACAAAAAGGAAATAAAAACAAAAAATATACAACATTTGTCTTTATTAATTGTCTATTCATAAAATCTAAATTAGCATCACAACGTATCGCATCAAACAGCTTAAATTAAAAACAAAATTAGAATTAAACTAAAATTTATGTATACTATTTACCGGTCACTCTATGAAGATAAAATAAATTAATAAAACTTAATACAGACATTACGATTACTTGCGTTATCGGCCTATTTTTTATAATAGGAACTTATTCTTCGGTACTGCACAAAGGGGCTTAACTCGCCAGTGGTCATACTCAATTTAGGCATAGAGTTCCCGTATTAAATTGTCTATAGTTATGATGCAGATAACGAAAAGTATTCATAGATAGTAGACATATTATACCTTACTTCATTACACTACTTGCGAAGTCACGTGATTTTTGCGCCTAATTCAAAGTTGTAGGCAAATAAAGCTACAAAACTTGCAAATATAAATTTGATAATGCAGCTTCGCGAATTGTGTAGAGGGTTTTTATAGTTATTGTGAAAATCTTCTGTCAAAAAGTATGATCACAGATGAGAAACTTTGTTCACATCTGGTATCAAATTCGTGGCATAGATAATACTTTTATTTTACGCTATTGAATTTAGGGTGCAGTACCGAAATTATACCTAACAGTCGGGCTTTAAAAAATTGAGCATTTTATTGCCCGACATAACAGTAAAGTAACCATAGCACAAAACACATTCTAGCTTACATGAATAAATTAAGACTTAGAACACTGAAATGCACTCATTAAGTCCCGTAAGATCCTTGGCGCCATTTTATTTTTAGCCCGCCATCTTGTTGATATAATACTAGTTATTAATCTCATTGTAATTTTAAGATCTTTATTTCATTATAATAAATGTTATTCCAGACATCCCAGGAGTTTTTTTTAAAGAAATTGCTGTTATCAAAGATTCACTAAGATTTCATTATTACGTATTTTATGTTGGCAACACACAAATCAATATCGAAAATAACTAAATAAATTCCAAAATAAAACATCAAAATATACATAATAATACTACAATTTTAAAAATTAAATAAATTAAAAAATACGTGTACAATAAATTCTAAGAAAATTGTGATAGTTCGGTTAAATTAAAATATCTACAATGTTGCGAAAAAAAGCAACACATCGAGAGCACACAAAATATTAATTTCATATAATTAAAACGTTGGATTAATACATTCGCGTAATACTTGCGCAATTTGAAGAAAAATCGGCAATAATATGTACATAAAAACAATTCCAAAAAGATTCAACTAGCTTTCCACATTCCATGGAGCAATTCCAAAGCCCCGTACACATGAGACTATATCTCAATTCCTAAAACGTGTGGACGAAGCTCAATCAACGAATGCAATTCTGAATATGCGAAAGACCTGTAGAACTTAAACCAATAGAAAAGGCAAACTGCCAAACTGACGTTCTCTAAGCTATGACATTGACACTTTAGTTGAAGTTTAAAAAAATAATACTTTTGCTATGTTGCCAATCTCATACCGGTTTTGACACCTGTCACTTACGTATTAACTGTCAGTCGTATAAATAGTCGAAAGCTAATTTCTATTGGCTTAACCCCTGTCATTCACGACGGTGTAGATGGCTGTAAACGAAACCGAAAGCGGTGAAATTGAAACTCCTAGAGATCAGGCCTGGCCTACACGGGCGTGTAATTACCGACAGGTTTGTAGAAGGCCTTGCCGGTGACGATCCGACGGAAAATTTCCTTGAGCAAGAGACCCTTCTCCTTCTTGATTTTCACGAGGAAACCGCGGTTCTCGTTCGCACGTCGCGAGAGATATGGCAACACTTCCAGCACTGGCCCGTACGGGACGTATTTGTAGGCCGAGTAGCCGGCTTGACCTGGAATTCATTTGTTTATATCAAACAAATTAAATCAACTTTAACAGCTTAAAACGGGAATTTATTACATTATTTACACAAGTCAATTATAATTTGCAGAATCAATAATAAAAGTCTTACTATAATGTTAATTAAATAAAGTGCGTGCGTATAAAGTACACGCGTCAGAAGTGAAACTTCTTTGACAAACTATTTTTAAGTCTTGTTCATATTTATCTTATATATATAAAATTCTCGTGTCACAATGTTAGTTACCATACTCCTCCGAAACGGCTTGAACGATTTTTATCAAATTTTCTCTATCTATCTATTTACCTACCCCTAAGTGATAAGGGTTGTCCACCCCTAACATTTTATTTTTATTTTTTAGACAATTTTTTTTTGTTTTTATTTTTTTGATGATACAGCATACAATAATACATACAACCCCTAATTTTCACCCCTCTACGTTCAACCCCTATTTTTTATTATAGTAGATAGTTATTTTATTTAACCTAAAAATATGTTTCCTAGAAATAATATACAAGGCAAATTTATTTCTTCGATAATATAAACACATGGCATGATAATTTACAATTCGACATTTGAGATTTCCATAAATTATTTTGCATAAAATATAAAATACTAATATTTCATAAATTCTCGTTACGAAATTTTAATTTTAAAAATAGAATTTCTATAAGGTAATTCGCCCTTCTCACTCTCTCTCAATAGGTCTCAATCGCACTCTCCATTTTATTCGACAAAAACGCTGCACATCTTCGTGACGCTAATATTATTATTATTGCGGTTCATCCGTAAAATTTTTACCCTCATGCGCTTAATGAAGTTTCACTTCATAAATATATTTGTCTTTGTTTATCACAGCGTAAATACAGTTTGACAGAAAAAGATGAATTAATTAGCCTGCTACTCGAAGGGGTTTGAAATAAAAAACCAATTATGCATTTCACTTTTGCACGCTTATTAAAAAAATTATGTTCCTAAATTTACATAATATCTCGAATGAGAGAGAAGTGGAAGAACTTGGAGCAAGCCTTCACTCCTTCGGAGGTCGTGTACTAATATCATATACAATACACTTAATGTAACATAAATTATAGTACTCGAATAAAGGCTATCTTTATTTATCTCAAAAAAAAAACACATTTAATCATATAGGTAACACATTGTACACTTATGACTTGTCACTAAAGAAATACATATTAATGCTTCTAATTTTACATTTAGTGCCAGTTCTCAAATCAAGGGTGTAATAAACTCTCCGCCACTCTTTTTAATCGCCATGTTTTTTTACACGTTTGTAAGGAGCTGCAACCATTACACCATGTTTCACATGACATCTTAAGTAATTAATAATAATAACATAAATAAAAACAAAGACTTGTCCTCTATCAGCAGGAGGCATGGTGAAATAGGAGCACGCACTTACATTCTCGTGGGAACAACACGCAAACACTCAAATGAATGTAGAGCGGACAAGGAACTGACAGTTATTGTAAATTTAAAATTATTAGATTGTTTTATCATATTTCAAATAAATAAACGTATCAGTAAAAAGCATAGCACTAAAAGAAATACAACATAAGCGATTCATAATAGTAAATAAAAAAAATTGTTTTTTTTAAACTGTCTATGGTATATTTAAAGTTGTTAAAATGTGGAACTCACCAAGTGGGAAGGTGATGTGGTCGCACATGCCCAGAAGTTGTCCAAAGCACACAACCTTCTCGTCAGGCTGTATGTTGTAGTCCCTCATCAGTTGGATGGCGTATCGGATGGTGTCTTCGTTGTGGGAGGCCACCATTATACCCAGATTTTGTTGGCGTTCACCCTAAATCAGAATACATTACATTTAATCAACTTATAACCTCTATAATGAATAAGACAATTTCTATGAATTCCATATGCGATTTATTGTTTATTGTTGAAAACCTTAATTAAAAATATTAAATATTGTTTCAGTAGTTACTATTAATAGTTAGTTCATATTAATAATAATATGAAAAGTTTATGCTTCGAATTTGTTTCTAACTTAGTTCTGTAGCCTTTTAAATTCGCTTTTAATGGGTGTCTATGGGCTGCGATGACTGCCCTTTTTGGACGTCCCGCAAGCTCGTTTGCCCCCTTATTATATAAAAAAACGGTTTACGTTAAAATTATTTATTACTGAAATAATGAATTGAACATTTATTCCTACTTTACCCACTTCCAGCAAAATATTTGGAAATTTAAATGAAATAAAAAAAAGTTAAAACTATAATGATGCTTCGAAATATTAAGTGGTGCCAAACGCATACCTTGACCCTGCCGAGTATTTCCTTGAGGCACTTGTGGAAGGAGGCAGTAGTAGCCTCGACGCTCTCGCAACTCGGGTCTTCGTATCCCATAGCTGCCGCACGGGCGCGCTCCTGAAAAGCAATTTATTTATTTATTTATACGTTCTAAAACACAAACAAATTTAACAAACATAATATATATAATTTATATTAGAACATAAGTAATCTGTCAAAGGAAAAAATTAAAAAATAAAAACTAAAAATTAATAATAACTAAAACTAAAAAGATAAAAAATAACAATAATAACCTAAACTAAATGAAAACTTAAACCTCATTAAGAGCGTGATAAACAAGGTTACGGTAACTTGGCAGACTCTTGTAAAACACGTCAATATTTTCATCGATGTTAATAATGATGATGATGATGTTTTTGACGACTCATTGGTCTAGTGGTTAGTACCCCTGACTGCGAATCCATGGGTCCCGGGTTCGATCCCCGGCTGAGACGAACATCGATGTGATGAGCATTTGGTGTTGTGCTTAGGTCTTGGGCGTTTAAATATGTATTTATATCTCTATATATCTATAATATGTATCTATATCCGTTGCCTAGTACCCATAACACAAGCTTCACCAGCTTAGCATGGGACTAGGTCAATTGGTGTGAATGGTAAAAAAAAAAAAAAAAAAAATTGTAAGAGCGAGACCGCCTATTCACAGGTCCATTCAAAGTAGCAGTATTAACCAATATATGAGCATAAATTCTTGATATTTTTTTTTATTAATTAATTAATCATCCGTCACAAGTGTCTAATGTACCTGAGTATTATGTCTGTCAACTGAAGATACAGATTGTACATATGTCACAAAGTCTATGATTAACATTTACTATTGCCACAGAGTTTTTTTGGAATTGTTGTGTAAAAAGTTGTTTACTATGGAATATAAGATACATGGTATCACTTATTCCACGTCGTTAAATTTCCCTACTCATCGGCAAAGAAGACAGCGGGTGTAGGCCGAGAGAAAAAACGGGCGTAAAAAAACTCTCGGTACTCTTTTAAAATATCAAATCATCATACTTAACACAAACATATGTTTATTTGTTTTGTCAGCGTGTTTTAATTCCCAGGAATGGTTCATATAATAATTTATAACACAAAAGCCCAATTAAAATTAATCGACAACGACTTGTCAAACTGTCATGTGACCATAATTTCAAGCGTAAAATATAGTAACTTAGCGCGTATGTCAAAATCCAATAGCAATCGCTCTTTCTATGTATTGCTAGTTGTTCTGTCTTCATTAACAGATGATTTAAACGTTTCTAAGAAGAAATAATGTACATTGTTCAGAAACATGTTATTATTATGTTATTGTCCTTTGTTAAAACTTGACTTTATACTATAGCGCCATCTATTGAGTTATTCATTAAATTACTTAGACACAAACAACAATTTAAACAAGAGAAAAATTTAGTAGTTAAAGCGATGTGACAGATCTTATTTTATGCATTAGTTAAAATACTATTAGACAGTCTTGGTTAATATATTTAAAGTTTAAAACAAGGTACAAGTCGTGATATTGATACTTATTCACATTACTAGTATAAGGAACTGGACGTTTCTTTTATTTAAGAGCGCCATCTACCGCGCCCAATCGAAAAACCTTAATAATAAAACAAAAATAAATAAATCGACTACAGTAATATCACTGACCTGTTCAATATAAGCGCCGCGCACCAATTTGGCCCCCCAGAAGAAGTTCTGTCGCTCGGCCTGCTCCAGGTCGGTCACGATCTCATTGTAGGTGTTCTTCAGGTACGTCTGGTAAGTGTTGAACACTACGAATCTTCCCTACAAATAGTATGATTCAACATTAAAACAAATTCAATTATATATAGAAAAAAGTGCGTCCATACAAAGTACACATGTCAGAAGTGAAACGTCTTTGGCAAACTAATTTTTAAGTCTTGTTCATATTTATACAAATCTGATCTAATTTATACATTCAAAACTAAGTTAAAGTTAAAAGTTTTAAACTGTGCGTGATGCGACGTTCGCTCTCTCTCAACTCTCTCTCTCGATCTTTCTCACTTGCTTGCTCCCTACTCTCCATGGCTATTTGCTTCATGCTACGTTCACCCTTAATCACACCTTCTCAATCGCTCTGTCCCTTTTCTTCGACAAAAACGCTGCACATCTTCGTGACGCTAATATTATTATTATTGCGTTTAACCCGTAAAAATTTTACCTAAATCATGCGCCTAAAGAAGTTTTACTTGAAAAAAGAAACATATTATAGTGTTAATTTGGCTCAGTCATAGACACCTCGGCAAACGAAAAGTGCAGTTGTTAACAGTTTTTTTTTTTTTTTAATAAAATTAATTTCTTTCAAAACACCTAAATACTGTCGGCAATAAGTTTCTCAAGTAATAAAGTTCTACCTTGTTATAGCGTCTCATCATTTCCAAGCAGATTCGGGAAATGGCAGGTTGGAAGTACGTCTGCTCGGCATCTATCATTATCCTCACATCCGCCTCAGCAGCAACCTGAAAATTCAGAAATTATAAACATGATCTCAAACTGCTGATTATTTGTAAGTTAACTAAAAACATTTTTTTCATAGGAGCCTAGCAACCGCGTCTACACAAAGGGCAGTAAAGGCATATCTAAAACATTAAAAAAATATAATATTGATATGGTCAGTATAAAATGTTAGGTTAGCTAATTAAAGTTATAACTTAAAATAGAAAGTTCCTTAAGTATGGACTGAATAAATTATCCTACTTAGTAAAAAATTAAAATCCTCACTGGCCACTATAATGTTCCAGGAATTGAGAAGCTCTTTATTTTAAGTGAAAATACACATTTGAGGGGTTGTTCTTTAAAACTTAAGACCACTCAACATAACACAAATTCCCAAAAGAACGTTCTCCCAAACCGAGTAGTGGCCGACTGGAATAGGCTTCCGGAAAGTGTAATCAGTGCACCATCTTTGAACTCTTTTAAAAATAGATTGGATAGTTTCTCCAAATCTCAAAATACACGCGCATCAGCCTATTAAGCTGCTAGTGTGTTTATATACATAATACGTAACATAATAATAGTACATGGAGCTCACAACTTTTACGGTAGAAGTAATCTGTATAATGGAATTATTGACGTGACAATGTCTAATAAATCGATGAACAACGGCTGCACGCACGAAAAAGCATGACTTACTGTCCCGTTAAGCTCATTGTCTCGTTACGCTAATTGTCCTGTTACGCTCATTGTACGCTCGCATCTTAAGTATGCAATCATTTCATCAATGTTTTGTTATGACATTGTCACATTAAACTGTCGTCCGTAAAGCGACTTTCGAGACAACCATTTTTTTATATCGAGCAATGCAATATACGATACCTGGATGATGTGGTTGATTCTCCTGAGCATGTTCCTGAACATTTCCTCCTCTTTGGGCGAGATCTGCGAGATTAGACGCCGCATCTGTCCAGACTTAGGGTCGGGCACACGGAACGAGTCCGATAGATTCATGTCTTTGTCGAGGATGTTTGACCAGGGGAACAAGTGAACGATGCTGCAAGAATTAATTTAATTTAATGAGTAAGAGATTTTTAATCGATCTATATGAACAAATTTCGATATTTTATGAGACTTTACAAGGAGTAGTTATTTTAGGAGAGGTAATATGGTGATTGCTGTGTATTGGATGTTGTGGATTATAAATTGTTTATGAAATTATATTTGACATTGCAAACGCTCTCACATATGTACCAACTTTGGTAATAGGAAAACAATTTATTAATATGGTGAAAATTACCACATAAAAAGGGTTGGTAGGATAATCCTTAGGCCTTATTTATTTAAGTTACTGTTAAGATTTACTTTAGTTTTGTTTCATTAATATAATTGTATATTTTGGTCATTTGTTTATATTAAAGGCAAGGAGCCGTTATTATTATTATGGGTCCAACGATTTTTTTTAAATCCATTTTATTTACTATTAAGAATTACGCTTTACAGACTCCTATTGACTTGTGTCATTTATAAGTTAAAAAAGGCGTTTAAGCAATAACCCAAATCGAAAGGTAATCGTTTTGGCTGGAGCTACACGTAAGAATTCACAAAATAAATAGCAAATACTTCTAGCCCAGGACTTATATATAAAAAAAACTGTATACGAGTCTAGATTTTTACTCGACTATTAATTTAGAATTTGAGTGCAACTTGTGAGCAAAGATCATATGTCTATAGCAAACCAAAGCAGATTAGCGAGTGATCCAACTCTTACGATAATAATTCGTAGTCACTGACCGGTCCCACGGGAATAAATGCAGCATACTGAAACATTTTCACTGACTTTCTCTAAGTCCCTTAATTACGTATTGTTTTTGATCCTTCGGACCAGAAAAAGAGGGTACTTTACAATATTATTAGATTTTTGTAATAAATTTATTCATTTTATAGAATATTATATAACCCATAATACAACACTAATAGGGCCTAATACATAGTTGATTATATATTTTTTTAAAGTTTGTACAATGCGGGTAGATACAATATGTCTTTAAAAAAGTTAACTTTTAAAGTTGAAATGTATAATATTAATAAATCAAGGTTGATTATAATTACTAACCCCTCTTTATCCGAGGTGATCTTCTTCATAAAGTCCTGAACCTCCGGCTTGGAGGAGTGCTCTCCGAGGTACCTCTGGAAGTCCTCTATTGTCTTGTGATGGGTCAGCACGTTGCCTGTGCCACCTGCTATTTGCTGCATATAGTTACGCGCACGCATAATCACCTCGGACAGTTGGAGCTGAAAAAGAATTGGAGATATATTCGACATTGTTATGGACAAGGAAAGTTAAGACCGATAAAAAAACTAATAAAACCAAAACATATTTTTAATCATTAGATATACAGTATAAAATACTTACTTTTTAAACTCTATTGAAAACAAATATCGCATATGGCATAAAAGGATAATAAAGCATAATGGTGAAAGAATTTATGAATTCGGTAGTTTTTAAAGTTTGATTACCTAACTTTCCTCATGATCAGTATAGAAGTTTGCACTTTATATAATAATATACATTATATCTTAATATATATATTTCTTCTGTGCGTGTGTATGTGACTGAACTCCTCTCAAACGACTGGACCGATTTTGATGAAATTTTTTGTGTGTGTTCAAGGGGATCTGGGAATGGTTTAGATTCACAAATCAGCCCGGCAGATGGCACTGCAGTCGGTACTTTCATACTTTGCTTAATATCCTAATCGCTTTAAATATCATGCAGGACAACGTCTGTGGGGTCCACTAGTTATATATGAATAATAATTCTATTATTGCAATACTTTTTACGAATAGCTAGATTTTTTGCTTTGTGACGTAATGGACTAACGAAAAACCTTTAGTCATATTTTGATGTAAATTTATGTTAATTTGATAAACTAAATATTGTTAAATGTATTGTTCAGTTTTTTTAGTAAATAGGCATAAAGACTTTCTGTTCTTAGTAAATAGTTCTATGGAAAGATTAACTTCCATAGAATGGATATCTGGGTGACTTTATCATTAATCAAGGGACTGATTACGCAGGGTTAGTGACTTACAAGTAATTGTGGTCTTCCAAGAGCTGTCAGTTTTACAGCCATCAAACCCGTACTCTCTGTGATGCCTGAAAAACACAAGGTTTTAATTAGTTTTAATAACAAGAAGTGTTTTCCCCTTAATAGTCTCGAGACAATAAGTTGTGTTATTAGACAGTTTCTTATATTAAATATCCTCATAAGTTAAGCTAGATCTTAATGTTAAATTGTGTCCTTATTCAGACAATTTATATAAAAAAAAACGTACTAGGGTCGTTCTTCTTTTAAACCTACAATTTGATAAAGCTTTAGCTCTATTTAGAAAAGAAGTATATAAAGCTTTCTTGTCAGTTTATATATATTCTGATAGCAGAATTTCTATTCTATTGGAAAAAGTGGTTGGCCGAAATGTTTACAGATTTTTGTACGATTTTCTAGGCCTGACAGATAGATTCGACAAAAAATTTTACTATTCGGCACGAAATCTTTTATTTTATTCCATCGAGTACTCTTCGTTAAATAACTTGTACTTTTGTAATACATTAATTAACTAAATGAGCTTTTAGAAAACATATTAATGACCAACTTGGTATTACATGGATCTCACAACTTTTTACGGTAGAACTGCGATGCGAGCATACTTTAGGTATTAACTAGTAAGAATTTTGCAAATTAATACGAATTTGATTTGTATATGTTATATGTTATATTTTACTTTCACAGTCAATTTATTTTTTTCTGACGTCTGCATAATCTGAATGATATTTATATTTGATTCTATTTAGACATTCTTCCGTTTAGTTCGTTCGGACTTTTCCATACAAAATGAAGTTCGTGAGTGCTCAAGTATTTTTAAATGCCTAATTATCTCTTAAAGCGACGATTATTAAAGTATTCTCAAATAAATAATATTTTCGTTTTGTTCGTCAATTTCGGTTGTAGGTTTAGCCTTCCTTGTAATGACAACCTTTTACATTGTAATTTCAATACATAATCTAAATGGCCTCGGTTGCCATGGTAACCAACGTTCATACATTTAGTTAAAGATATTGTTACATGATGTATTTTAACAATTAAGCTGACTTAAGGTGCTATACACACGATAACTATTATGGAAGCATATATTAATATATATCTAAAATCGAATCCGGAATAATTATCAACGTAATTAATCAATTAATAATGCTATCAAACCCATATCGCAAACTTAGAATTACATGGTAAGAAAACCCAATTTAATATAAAATACGGGGTAAATCCACAGATTATTGTTCCGATAGGAATCTCAACTGTTTATCACAAACAATTACATCCTGTTTGCTGCAAAATGCGAAGCATATCCGACAAAATAATTTTATCTTGAAGCATTTGTGATAACTTTCGACTATCATGTGTTCTTAACAACATATACTAAACATAGTGTATATGTGTGTGTGTAGATTGATCGATTTTGCTTTAAAACTATAGTATAGCATTTTTTTTAAATACTAAATGACCCGGTGAACTTCGTTTAACTTATATATATTGAATGTCAAACTTACTAAATTTTTTTAAAAACAGACCATAGATTTCGGACCTCGCACTACAGCTACGAAACACCAATTACTTAAAGCATCCCATATGACAACCAAGTGACAATTCTTTATTTCTAAAGAGACAAAATACATCAAATATTTCTCAGCTAGGAACAGTTTTTATTGGAAAATTGAAATGTCGTTGACCTATTATTTATATTTGAGCAATTTAAACCTTCCCTGAACTTCCATAAATATTTCAAGATCATAATTAGCCAAAATCGGTCCAGCCATTTTAGCGACACCAACGAATAGCAATTCAATATTATATTTTTTTCATAGAATCTTAAACTTATCTCACTATTAATGATTTTTATTTGATACTAGAGACCTGTCCCGGCTTTCCTATTAATATGACCTATGCCGAATCAGCCGATTGCGATTCTGTATCAGAATGCCAAATCTTAAAATGACTGCTTTACGACTGATGTGAGCGCGACCGCCGCTGTGAAAACCGCTGTGTGAGTTCGAAAAGTGAGTTACAGAATCGCAAGGCTGTCCATTAGTTTTGCATTTATTTGATAAAAAGCACACAAATCTTTTCTCCAACATTTATGGTAAATTTGAAGCCCAAAATCGACATATTTTATAAACTGAAGATTGACTAGTTAGACAAATAAATCCAGCGGCGCAACCTTTTAGCTCTGGGTCTCAGATTGTTGTATCTGTTTCGTAATTAATTTTATTTCAAAGACAAGTATGTGATTTCTGACACATGTCAACGATTTTTTGACAGATATCCTCACGATGTCATCCTTGAGCGTGTGTTTAATGCGCACAAAAAAAGTCCATTGGTGCAAGGAGTTCGAACCTACGACCCTGGCCAACACTAACCTAACCCAACAATCATCATCTTCTACTCACCAGCAACAGCGTCAATACTCTTAAGGAAAGCCTCCATGTTCTTCTCGCAGGAGGCCTCATTGAGGTAGAAGTAGGTTCTCGCGCTGGTCACCTTGTAACGACGGTCAGCAAAACGCTGTTCCACGTGGTATTGCTTGAGCTGTCCTTCCTCTTCAGTGTCACCGCAAACAGAGATGGAGGCGCTGAAAATTTTATTGCAAACTCATTTAAACTTTAGGGGCTAGATCGTTGCCATGGTTACCAATGCGCCACAGACTAAGAGACTCGATATCAATCATCAAAATGATTACTATATATTGTCTAGATTTAAAAGATAAAAGGATAGAGTCGAGACGTTACGTAATTATGACTTACAAAATCTACGTTTATCATACTTGGCGCTTATTAATTGTCAAATTTTTATCATACAAAACCCTTGCTTGATTAGATTTAAGTATGAGAATAGTCAGGGAGCGATCAGATTTCGTAATTTGTTTATACATAATATGCATACTAATGATTGACAGGTAATATTAAAATTATATTTAAAATGAACTATACTTCTTTTAAGTACTAAAGGAGCAGGACAGCTTCTAGTTTCGACACTGAATATAACTCTTTACCGGAAAGAAAATCAATTAGGAAAATTTCAAGATGTTATAAATACCATTAATCTCAAAGCAATGTTTTCACAAGTTTTCCACAAAAGTTTAAAGTATTATGAAACATTATTTCTATTGTATAGGAAATCATTTATTATAAGCGTTTATTTATAGAGGTTTTGAGAGTTTAATAGGTATAAAATATCTGGAGGTATATCGGGTATTTCGGGTTCTAGAAAAATACCAAATTACACTAAATGTTTATTAAAAATTTGATAAATCAGTGGCGCTACAATCTTTTTAGGTCTGTGTCTCAGATTTCTGTACCCATTTCATGCTCATTTATCAATCAAATACGCAAGTAGGTAATCAGCCTCCTGTGCCTGACACACGCCGTCGACTTTGTGGGTCTAAGGCAAGCCGGTTTCCCCACGATGTTTTTCTTTAAATTACGTTTAAATTAAAGTAGCCATGATGATCGCCAACCTTCGAAAGGAGATGGCACTATAAGAAGATAGATAGAATCTACATTGCATTTGAATTCTAGTTACAACGTCTTATTTTAAATGTTTCAACTGAATGTTATGTAATTTGACGTACGCATCGACTTCATAAGATCGTAATCACATGGACATGTGCTCCACGCTCCAGTTCACCACTTGTAATACGACTAACGCTTGGTTTCAATATTTTACGACTGTAATCTCTACGAACCGTAGTAGGTACTGCTACCAAACCTTCTATAAAAATTTTAACAAACATTTTGCATATTGAATACAAGAAAAGGTTTGTTAAAAATGGTTTCAAAAGCAGGTAATACCCTTGAACGCCTCTCGGCTTTGAAAGAGTCCGTATGTCAAAAATCAATACTCTGACAGTACGAGAGTCACACTTAGCTCTAAGTCTAACTCATGTACGTTAAAAATTTATCGTATATGGGAGTTCTCATTTCTGAATATTCCTAAGTATCCTCGATGGTTAGTATTTAAGTACAATACTAGTTGTAATAAAAAACGTCTGGTTACATATATAAGCCGGGTGCTAATCATGTTTATCACTTACATAATGGAAATTTTAATAAAAAAAATTGATACCAAAATAATCAATCTTCCGAGCCGTAGTGACACTTGACGTGATATTATTAGACATTGAATAATGCTGCTTTTTTTCCTAGTAAAAATATCTATAACTTTTTAGCAGGCCGTAATTTTTGTATGAAAATCTCGAGCAGCGCTCCGTGGGCAAATTTCGAACTAAAAACGGAAACATGACGTTTGCTATTACGAAGAATATAATCTGTATTTATATAGTGTTAGTCTGTGGTACTTGAGCTCACTAAATTACCTTTTTTGTTGTGACAACACTTGCGTCATTATAGTTTAATAGTAATCTTGATACTTGGAAAAAAATAGAACATAATTTGTGAATGACGTAACAAATAATAATTAGAATGTCACGTGGATTTATGACAAATACAAAAACTATTCCAACCAGAAATATAATTATAATTAAAGCCTTTTGCATTTCCATAACTTTAATTTCCATTACAAATGTGGATATGGCCTTGGATTTAGGCCTAGATCTATCTTTGCCAATCTTTTCCAGCCACGTCTGTTTTTTCCTGCTATTTCTATCAAGTAATTAGGCCCCTTCATTTTGGCCTGCCCTCTCTTCGTTTTCCGGGTGATCCCTTCCATTGTGTTGTATGTGTAACACGACAAACCCATTGTCATTTTAATTTCAAAGCATGTGATCGGTTGGAACCAGGAATAAACAAGTTTTTAATTATGAATACATTTCTGTTTCTGAAGAAATGAATTCAAAAAGCCAAAAAATTCGTCATAACATTCCAAAAAGCTATTTGGAGTTTTGGCACGTTTGGATAATATTTACGTAACTCTGACTAGATTACAAAAAATTTAAGACAAGGCCGTGTCGCTCATCATGCATTGTATGCTGTCGCTAAGTGCCATTCAATTATAGGTTTGAGAACTCCCCGCTTTGACCAACGCCATTCTCAATCAAGACAAAATTCACACTCGTAATTGTTTTTAAATTCCTCTAAATAAATAGATTTTTAGTCTTTGAATGTTTTTATACAAACGGGCAGAAGGCTCATTTGATGTTACGTGATATGTCGTGGAATGCCATGGAAATACGGGAGTGCGCTGCCGGCCTTTTAAAAATAGGGATAAAGTATTGAGGGCATTATAGACATGGTGTCGAGCGAGGTACGGCCTAAGGAATATGCCGCCCATGGACACTAGCTAGTGTGTTGACGGCCTTTTAAGAATTGGTACGCTAGTTTCGATATACTAATATAATGGGTATAGCGTATTGAGGCCATCATAGGCATGGTGTCCAGTGAGATGCGGCCTATTGGAGGGGACGCCTGTCCAGATGCCTATTAGGCTTCCGCTTGAATCAACCGTTCGTCAATAGACTACATAACCAATTAAATATTATTTATTTTAAACTGTTTACTTAAAGCAAGTTTAGAAGTCAGAAATATATGTTAATGTGGATAAAATAATGTTTTTTTTTCAAATACAAGAAACTTGACACATCAGTGTCAATGTCAACTATCTACATTGCCAAATATCTATTACATTTCAATTCCAACTTTAAAAAAATATTCGGATATTAAAACCGCAATTTTCATGAATAACGGAAGTCCTTTACTCAAAATACGGTCGCTGATAAACATTATATAATATATTATACAAATTATCTAATCGTTGATGATGCGTATTACGACCCTGTGACGTCGTAATGACGTCAGAATCGTGATCAGACAATTGACTAATCATGCACAATCTATGGTTCGATGTATCGTGTACGTATAATTAGAGTATTTATAAATTCAGTTTTAAATATTGAACGCGAAATCAAAATCGTTAGATCCGTTATAGTACTGTATGAATAATCTATGCTTCGATCTATACATTATGGTCTACGGAAGTGAACTTTAGTGTTGTTATACATATTTGTTTGAAAAAAAATATTTTAAATATCGAATATGACAAAAATATAATTATTTCTATGTCTACTACAAAGACTACGTTAGGAGAAAAATATCTATTTAACAAATCAACGAACTATACCTCTAATACTTTAAAAAAAACTAAAAACGAAAAATAAAACATAAAAACCCAGCCAAAAGAAGTTCTTGCAAATTTTTTGCCTTATTCTTAGGAATTTCAGCCAAGGGTAAACTTGTACTGCCACTGAAAATAATAAAAATAAATCGTAAAAAAATGTCTTATAAAGATACTAGTCTCAAGTGTATGTTTTGTCCTATTTACCCATTGATAAAGTAGCTCGGGAGTGATAGAGACAAAACTTTCAATAGATTGTTAATAACATGGCGGATTTTTGAAATATTCCGAAGTCTTTTATGCCGATTAATATAGACAAACGTCATTTTCATCCATCTAGTTTAATAATTCTGTATAAAACTATGCTTGATATATTTTTATAGAACAAATTAATTTAAAATAAATTAAAAATAATAAACAAACACAAATATTGTTAGATAAGGTTTAATTCCTCTCAAAAGAAAAAAAACGCCGACTCCATAAATTATCGTCAATTGAGAACGCAAGGTTACTGAAGCCTTTGCGTAAAATCACGATTTCATTATGACTCAAACAATGGGAAAAATTACCGCGACATTTTCCGTCGCCCACGAACACCACTCTATTTCTGTCTCGTTCTAAGACAATCGTGTCAATTATGTTAGCGAATTTCCAACAAAACGGTACTCTAACGCATTTTCATATTACGCGATTTCAGTCCCTCGTATAACACGAGTATTCCTAATATAACGCAGGGATTTCACACGTTATATTTCTGTACTGAGACATTTATAATTATTTGTACGCACTTTTTCCCTTCATAATGAACGCGTTATATGGCTTCAAACAAGCGCTTAATGTGAAGATACTACGCGTCCTATAACACGGTAGATTGGTTCCGCGTTATAGGACGGAATACTGTACTTTTATCTGTATATATGTATAACTGAATATAGCTTGCGTTTCCCCCATTTATTCAGTTACAATGTTCTATAGCCTAAACCTTTTCTCGAAAAATAGACATTTAAATACAAATACATTTTTATTTTGTAGATGATGATGTCTTCTATAAAACTGTAGTTCATCACTTTGCTCTATTGTCAATAGTTTCCGCAGCGTACGCGATTTAGGAATTATATCGATATTATTAAAACCTTGGGTTACACTATCATAATTTCATACACCGTAACTTTTTTTTAAATATTCTATAGCTTATGGCCATCAGGGTTCGAATGGTGAAATATTTATTCAAATAAGTCCTGTAGTTTTGGAGCCTAGCAAACAATCAAATCTTTCCTTTATTAGCGTAGCTTATATAAAATAGATATTTTGGTTAAACAATTGAAGAAAATCGGGCGATGCCCTTTCATTTTCATATCGCGAGAATAGCCCATGTCTAGGATCTGATCATTTCTATATCCACAATTTATAAGATATCCTATTTTTGGATTCCGACTGATAAATTCCTAAATTATTTGCCTTCAGTGTTAGCAAAACATTAATTAATAACATTCATCGAAACATATGTTTTACAAAAATCCTTAAAAAAACTAACTTCAAAAACTGCTATGAAAAAGAATATTACAGAAAAATATGAACGCCCGTACATAGACAACAGTAACAATTTTATTGTGGTCTGTGACACTATATTTTGACAGCGACAAACAAACAAAAAAAAACAAGCTACTCTATGGTGCAGAGAAGTATCTTGGTTTTGTATTAATTACAAATATAGAAACTTTCGATAATTTAACTGCTATTTCGTGAACTAATTAAAACCGTAACAATCACGTGACTCAAGACGGCTAGTGATGTGACTAAACCTGTTATTTATGTGCCGTTTAAATTTAAAAAAACCGGTAATATAATTAAACGGTAATATCATGCATCCTTATCGTGACAACGGAAATCAATTCACTAAAGCGATTAGAAGAAACAAAGTATTAAAAAATCTCATTACCTTACTTCGCGCTTCTCAGCTTCTTCCTGAGAGAGGTCCTCTTCAACCGAATAATCCAAAATCGACTTCACACCAAATGAACGCAACCTGTCAATGGATACATAAATTATATTCTCGCTAAAGGTTAAGTGTAATTCTCTGATATCAAACCACAGACACCAACAGATAGTGAGACGGTATGTCTAAGGTGACAAGAGACTTCATAAGTGACAGTTGACTGGTCACTTGCCTAAAGATCTATGGCACTAGAGTTGAAATGTGTCAGCTGCTGTACTCTGTAACTCGAAATAGTTTGCCGGCAACGCATAAGCGAGGCTTTGATATTGATAGTGTCCATGGGCGATGGCACTTAATATCAGGTGAGCCTCCTGCCCGTTCTATAAAAATATAAGTCGAAATTGGCTGCAAATAATCTCGAAGGATGATATAATATACAGCTACATACAGTAGCTATTTCCAAACAATGAACACGACAGATAATACAGTAATCAAAAGATATAAACAAATCACGATGTGGATAATCTATTGTAAGTCTATTATCTATACAATAAGCTTATTAAAATAAACATGATTACGTTTCTAAATTTAAAATGCTAATGTAATATGAAAAAGTTAGCGCGAATTTTAAAATTATATTTTTTTTAAACGATTTTTTTTTTACAGAACTGGACAGACGTCAGAGACCACGGTCTTGCCACTCGCTTCATCCTCTTTCATGACATTCACCATCGGGGCCGGATTTAGGGGAGGGCAACCGGGGCTACAGACCCGGGGCCTCCACAAAAGACTTCGGAAAACAATTATTTAAATTCCGACTAGTAAACAACTTTTCTTTCGCCGTTCTACCTTTACCTTTGTACAAACATGATTATATTGTTCTTAAATATCAACAGAAATCATTTATATTTTTATGTTTATTAAATATGTACTAAAAGAATCTACTTGGTTTCACAATAAATTATTAATTGAAAAACTCGACTGAAAAAAATTTCTCATTTAATTTGCAAAATTGGGGCCAGGTGGCCTCCACTCCTTCACCTGTTCACCATGCATGCTGGCCGGTTATAGGTCCCTTCTCCCTCCTGGATTTAGTCCAGGTACGACAAGGCCTACCGAACCAGACTTCCCCATCCACGGTTGCCTTTTCATCATCTCCCGCAAATATAAAATATGAAAATGCTCGCAAACCTCTCGATTGTAGGTCGAATCTTGTTCTGGTCTTCGCCGGCGACAAACTGCCCGTAGAAGGTGGCCTTCATGATCATCTCGAACAACCGCTGACCAACGACTTGACGAAGACGTTTCATCAACTGGAAAATTAAACATTCCTTATTAAAAAGGGTTATCAGTGCCATAACTAATGGTCTAAGATCCGGCTGCAGGATTACTGCGCTCATCGGTTATTTAAAAATCTATTTTTATGTATATTTATAATTAGGAGAATGTATATCTACCAAGTTGCCTATAAAAATTTGGCCGCTCGTATTTTTAATGAAATTATTTTGAATTGATTTTTGGGAAAACATTTCGTTCACTTGTTATTTAATTAAAATATCGTCTACATGACGGCAATTTACATAAGATTTTAAAAATCACGGGTGCCGTTGATCAACTGGCCGCACTTCTGAGGTAGCCAGGTGTAAACAGGTATTTCGTTACATTTAAACGTTCATAACGTACATTTATTAACCTCAGCTTTCTGTATCTGTTGGATTTCCTCCAATCAACCCCAGCATGGAAGAAAAATAAAAAAGTGCGTAACTAAATAAAAAAAAAATTAACACTTGTTAAGTTCGCGTTCGGTTGTTGTAGGATTGTTCAAATATATTGTTACGAAGATGGGTTGACTGTAAAGTTTCTCGATTGTTCCACAAGTTAGAAACGTTCGAACAGCTATAACGTGGTTTCTGACCGTTTCAGGAGAGGGTCAATCACATATTAGAAAATCATATTGATAGTACAACTGCTAATATGTACCAATCTGTCTAGATACTTCTCTAACATCGTTCAAGATTATTCCCAGAAATATATTCATGAGTCGAAACGCGACCAGTGATTTCAGTATTAAGTGCGATTACAAGAGATTAACATCGAAGAGATAAGTGAAAAAGTACTGTGTGAAATGCGTGTAATTAAATTTATTAGTGATAAGAATTGTGTGTCATAATTAGTGTATTTCTGTGCGTAATATGCATTTATTTGTAATTAAATTCCTCATTGATTTATTTAAAAATAAACCCTTGAAGAGATCTACGGCGTTTTCTATCGATCTGTCTATCGATCCCCTAGCTCGTAACAATATGTTAAATGGAACTCTTTGTTTGAAAATGGGTGTCAACTGGCTTAAATCGTTTAAAACATGAGCTTATAACTAACATAAAATTAGGGGTAGGGTAATGTTCGTTACATTGTGACACGAGAACTTTATATATTAGATATAATTAATTATATTTAATAGCGCTAAGTGTGACTCCCGGATGTCATACTTAAGACAATTTTAATTCAATTCGACCAACCCTATAAAATTCGCAGTATAGACGAGAGCGTGCTTCGCGGGTTAGTTATCTGTTTGGTTAACTTTTAACATAACCATGATTATTGTATCTGGTTTAAACCATAACGTCGTGATAACATTGTAGTCTTATCTTATTCATAACCTATTAAAGGCAATTCGAGATTTTTAAAACGATATGTCACGTAATCAAACGTCAAGTTAATCAATAATTATCGTGATGGATGTTTTGATGAATTCATGATTATTTAATTCGTAATCTAACAGCTAACATAAATTATAAACAACAAAAAACAATTATACTAAATAAATAGCCAAAGGATATACACAAAAAGTTTCAAATATTTACGAAAGGAAAAATTATTCAACACGTTTAACTAAATAATACCTAATTCGGCTGTGTTGTGTGATGGTGTGAAAGTGGTGTACTCATGATGCAGGATTAGCGCTATGGATATTCTTACTCCTTTTAAGCATATAACCAAGTCAAGGCTTAAAAAGTAGTCGTATGTTTTACTCCATAACGATTTTATAAGCCACGTTTCACACAGATTCTAAATGACACTTTTTCGAGAGAGGGCTCGCGTTATCGGCCTTTTTTTTGCTTCGTTTCATTAAGGACCCTATGTCGAATTGATTCAGAAATACTTCAGTCGGCATTTACATATACTAGTGTTGCAAAAACTGTCTTAAGAAACGCTCAGTTGTGGAACGGCGGACGTAAATACGGGTGAAATTTAGTATTCTGCTGAAGTCCGATGATAAAACTTAACTGCAGGTAATCCGAACAACTCGACTAAACCAACTGCGTATCAGTTTTTTTGCTTAACTAATACCGTAGTTTTGTAGTAACGTCAAAGCCCTGGGTTGGTGAACGTTGTCGAGGTGAAATTATGGATATTTTGTAGCAAATTTAGTCATTTATTTGATGTTGATAAGTGTAAAAAGGCCGGCGGCGCACCTTCAGGCAATGTGAGTGTCCATGGGCGGCCGCTTGCCTCGTATTACATTAAAAAAAAAAGTGTACTGTACATAAACAAATATATGTTGACTTACAGCGGCTCTTCCTTTAAATTAAATATACGTTTTAGTACCGTTCCCTATAATTCCAAGTATTGAAAAGAAATAAAAACCTATGGAAACACAGGAATATTATAAATTCCAAACAATTAAATGCGTATGAGTCTTTTGTGCCTGTCTTAGTATAAAATTAAGAATATTCAAGATATAATACCATATATATAACTATTATATCAACATAAAACAACAAATTAGATTTTTCTAGAATAAATTCTCGTTTCGCGTCAAGTTTATAGAGGACACATTTGCCATTTTGAGTAAACACATGCACAAGGTCAAATATCTCGTGATCTTTGGGCCGTGCACATAGTTCTTTATTATTTAATTGTATATATATATATATCTATCTATAGAATTTGTGCAATAATAATACAAATTTTAAACTTTTCAAAACCCATATAATTTTTATTAATATTGAATTAATGTATGTTTATTTACTTTTCGGCAAATCAGTGACGACTTTTTTTAAACAATTACGTAACTTTTATATAACCTGCGTCAAAAATTTAATGTTTTTATTCATCTGTCAATGTCTGTGCGGATAGCGATCCGTGCCTTCTGCCCTTTTTGGGCGTCCCATAGGCTCGTCTGCCCCCTATTCTAAAAAAAAAGGGCAGCCCTGGTGGTCCACGTCAAACAACATTGGAAAGATCACACCTCCATCCTCACATAACGGTGACGCAGAGTTGGACCGATTTTCAGTGGAATCAGCCAACATTTTGAAAACGAAAGTCGAATTTTGGTGCCAATAAACTTTGGCGATCGGTATTTATTACGTTATTTAAAAAAGATTGATGACCCCCTAATCATCTGTCAAATGCGAAACTGTCTCTGACCAAGATTGCTAAAAAGCACTCGAAATTTAAAAAAGGAATAAAATCTTAGTTTTGTTAAATGTGTAAAAATTGCGGGAACAAAAGACAATTTTAGCTTATCTGTGCTCGTTTATCTAAATGCCGCCTGTCAAATGGTATCTATAGATATTATAATAATAATAAAAGCCTTTTATTTCAGATGCATAACCACATATTTCTACCACCACATTCTTTTTAGATATCTTATTGGCGGTCTCCTCCAAATCCCGCCATTCCTCTATGCACTGTGCCACTCTCTGCACTGTGCCACTCTCTGCACTGTGCCACTCTCTGCACTGTGCCACTCCCTGCACTGTGCCACTCTCTGCACTGTGCCACTCTCTGCCATGTACCACCTGCTGTTTCCTTAATTTGGTCCATACACTTTCTAAGTTGCCTTCCTCTTTTGAGTTTATTCTACCTTGGGCACCAGTTTAGTGATTGTTTGCTTAACTTTACTGTTCCTCTTGCCATGTCCCGCCCATTACCACTTGAGTTCATTGTGACATCTTGATGATGTATTTTACCTATTCTCATACGTCGTTACATCGGTCGACACACCTGTAGCTCTGTATGCTGCGCTTTAGTGAGCGCCCAACTTTGAGATCCATATGTAAGTACATAAATCTATAGAAATACCTAAGCTTAAATTTCAGAAAAAGGTCCGATATATCTATAAAAATATAAAAAATTAAGAATAATATTCAATTTCCAAAGTTATTTGACATTTAAATCGAAGAATATATTCTATTATTTATTTTTAACTACGCCTCCTTTAAGAATTTTCTGACAGACGAATCAGGTTAATTGACCCAACCCTTTAACTAAATTTAAATTTCCTTTACCCTCTAGACCCCAGGCGTCCTACCATTCCATTTGTCCCTCAGAAGAACGCGTTATTGCCAAAACTCACTGATATCCAGATTGAGTGTTCTGATAAACGAGCACTTTGAAATAAATTTTCCTTGAGTTTTTTTATCTTCGAGTATGTAGTATGTTATGTTCGCCAGTGCTTGTCACATTAAATGTTGTATTTTATTTTTCTTGTACCAGTGTACCGAACGTTGGCAAGCTTTTTGTAAATAAATGACTCACTATCGTTCTAAAGATCAAGCTCCACCTAAGTAGCTATTGACTATCTTACAGCCTTCTCATCATATTTATAAGTCAACGGGTATGGACCACAGTCGAAGTAGACATGGGGAGACATTGCGTGACACATAATAATTAATATTAATTTGATAACGTAATAATTTATTTCAATAATTTTATTTCTCGCTTTAAAAAACTTTTAAAACTCTTTTTAATTGCCAAGTTTTGAGTCATACGAATTGTTTGAACTGGAGCAAATCAATGCCAAGGATTAGGATTATTGAACTAATCGTCAAATTTATAAAAAGCTTTATTGATTAATTTACGTTTAACGAGAGTTTTGAATTTATTCAGTGATAATTCTCTAATTTCGCTTGGGAGTTTGTTGTACAAACGTATACAATTTCCATATAAGGAGTGGTTTATCTTCTGGAGACTGGTTGGTCGTACACTTAGATTAGTTCTCTTTCGAGTATTATACTGGTTAAAGTCACCATTTGTTTTAAAATCGCTTATATTTTTTTGTACATACAACAAGGCTTCAATAATATATTGACCAGATAGTGTTTTAATATTTAATTCCTTAAACTTATTCCGTTAGATTATTAAGTATTTAGATATTGTTCATAGGTTTAGTACCAGGAATATCGGGCATATGCATAAGATATTAGAAATTTATTCCAGGGTTTAACCCATACGATATTTAAGAGGGTAATATCGACACGAAAACCGCAGTAAAATTAAACCATATTTCCTAAAGGGAAATTGT